CACAGGCCCTGAAGATGATCTCAGTTAAGCTCAAAACGTTGGCACGATAATGAAAATGTTTTGCTAAATCTACGTCACCCCAGACCGCATATCACGATCTCCAAATAAAATAAAGAAAGTTAATTTTTATGTAAAAGGTAATTTCGAAATCTACTAGTCCGATTTTGATCAGATTTTTTTATGTTTTCCTTATGTTCATAGNTTCTTTCGTCTTCAGACCATCCATGAATTCGACCAAGTTGGTCTATTTTGTTCAGCCACCTGTCGACATTGACTTCGGAATCATCCGGGTCAAAGGGATCGATGATGTCGCCACTGGCCGCGAACCGACGCTTACTACCCTCTGTAGACCCGGAAGTCCCTTCACCAGTCGACTTCGATGAATCGGTCATCTCACCCAAAACCAACGCCGTCTGTTGCTGAACTGTCCGCCTTATTTGCTCTGCTAGGCCGCCCTCTAGCAACTGCCTAATGACAGCTCCAGCACAGTCCGGCAGTTCAGCATTTGGTCCAGGGCCGGAACCGACATTTCCTTGAGATTCGCCTGAAGAAGCCGAATCCATCTCACCTTCGCTCGCCTCAAGGTTTAAAATGTCTTCCCGGTCTGAATTTCCACCAACCCACATACTGTAAATCGCCTTAATGTTGCGTGAGCTGAATCCCACTTCTGAAATGTAAGGATTATTAAAAATAAATAGAATTTGATATAAAGTAATTTAATTAAAGTCGCTAGAATACAAAACGCCGTTGTCCCAAACAACCACAACTGCGCAGTTCTCCGTGCGTACTACCGTTAGTCCCGTTTCTTTGTTCTTCCCTCTCGTCAACACCAACCCCTCAGCGTTGCCAACCGTCCCAGTGTTGCCGCCGGTTCTCTTCTAATGTTTCGGAGGGGCGCCTCTTTTCCCTCCTCTTGTCCTCTTCCATAACAATTACTTTGCTTGCAGTAGTTAGAAACAAGAAAAATCTATTTTTTCCTTTAGTCAACTTTTTTGGTAGAATTGGTACATTAAAATTTTATTAATAACGATTATAAAAGTATATAAGCCTAACTGATATAACATTTAATTACTACTACAACGTATGTACTTGTTTAGCTTTATGTAAAACATGATCAAATTGCTCTTTCTTTGCATACTCACATAGTTATATATTTATAATCTGCAATCGACAAATATGATCGGTAAACATTTCTTCAATTAGATATAAAAAATCTTGGAAGATATACGATTAAGGCGGGCGCTGAACTGAACTATATTTCCAAAAAATATTACTTATTATCATTATAAAGTTGATGTTGTTCGGCTGCTTCATGAATTATGTACGCTTATTGAATTAATCAGACTTTTCCATTTTTTTTAATTTATTTTGAATGCATTTCTAGTAACGCCGTGGTTCCTCTTCAGAAAATGAAAAAAAAAAGTTCCCGAGTGTTATAGCCAACTTAGAATTATTAGAGTTAAGACTAGGTACAACACTCGCGAAGTTTTTAAAATGCTCTGAGGAGGAGGCCGATTATTTCAATAAACCCTTAATTACTATTGTATTTTTAATATATTTTAACAATATACATACTTTTTACAACACATAAAATAATTTGGTACTTAGCTGCACCGTATCACTTACAAGCATAGACGCGCACGCACGTGCACAGTCTCAAAATCATTAAATTTAAAATACCCCGTTTCGTTTTAATTGAATGCGAATATAATGACGTAATCGAATCGAATCAATTGATTATTGCTCTGTATTCGACGTAAAAAATTATATAAAAGTGCGTCATTAGATTATCTATAATTTACACAGAAAAAAAAGGCATGTATCTTAAATATAGGTATCCACTGATAAATGATTATAAGTATAATATTTTAAGATTGTTGATCATCATCAACAAACTTTAATTTTAATTAAACTGAAATATATTCTAAAATGCAAAGCCATGCGTGTAAATTTGTAAAACAACTACAACAACACTTACAATCATATAAATGGAAATTTTCTAATATTCTTTCTAGATTTTCTAAATTTCTAAGCATTCATTGTCACGATAGAACTGAAAGATTGCAAACCACATGAATGAAGTACTTTTAGGTATCACGCTCTGTTTGTTCGATCAAATCAAAATGCTCTAGGAGATTTAATAAAGTGCATATTTTAGATCATAGCAAGTGATTTTACTCCTCGTGGACGAAAAAGATTTCTGTTTGCATTTAGTCAGTTCATCATAAAAACTCGCGAGGCTTTAGGAGGGATTTCTTCAATTGGTCTTTCTCGTCGGCCTTGGGATGAGCTAATCGTCTTACCAGCTCCGGGATTCCACGGCTCCATCCATTCGACCTGGATAAATATGCAATCCGAATCTGTAAAAAAAATTATTTTTTGTGAATTCCTCTGTGAATTCAACAGAAAAACGTTGGTCGGTTAAAAAAAATGAATAAATTTACTGCAGTATAGATTGTTTTACAATTGTAAATTTTCAACCATATAAAATTTATCGAAAAGTGTGATATTGAGTTTATGGGTGAAATAGTGTGTATACACGTGTTGCTCGTGCATTTGGATCGTCTATTTTCGCTGGTTTTATCTGTCAGATGCTGGCTGGCATTTTTCCATCATCAATGGTTTGTCAGTGTGTTATTTTGTCAATAGTGACCTTCCATAAGTCTGTAATAGACCAGGATGATCCGCTTCGAGCCCTCTCGCGGACCTCGCCACAATTGCGTGTGTGCAGGATCTCTGTCTGTTTTTCGGTCTGTGTGTGAGTGTGTGTATACAGACATAAATTTATTTATATGTGAATACTGTGCAACAAACATATCCAAATAAAAATTATAATTTACACACAATTACACGAACACATACATGATAAGGTCTATCTCAGAGATGACTATATTTGAAATAGATTTGCTTCTTCTCAAAAACTTTTTTTCAAATTTGAACTAAATTTATTGCTATTTAGTCTTGATGATGGAGCTATAATAGCCAAAAGCACGGCCAAAAATAAGTTATCCAATTCTATTCGTAAGTTCTGTCATTCCTTTTACATTAATTTTCTCTTACTATAATTTATTTTTTAAACAATATTAATATTCAAACGAATGGAAATGAGGATGGTTCAGAAGCCGCATCATGGTGGAACGTGTATAGCTAAATGACAATAAAGTACCAACTTAAACTAAACCTCATCGCACTTTTTTAAGTATAGAGCTAAGTTCTGATCAAATGGTTGTTTGTTTTCTGTACAAAAACGAAATTAGGGCCACAGGTGCTGAATCGAGAAAAATCCGACAATGAACGACCTCTTAAGATTATAGTTTATAACATTGGTTTTAAAACGAGGTATTGTTAATTGTAATAAAAATATATTGAAGGAAGTCGTTGTAATGGACGTACCTACGTCTTTCGATTCGGTCCGTTGGTCCTTGGGCAGGATCATACCAAGGCCGCCTTTTCTGTATGAAATAATTATATTTGTTTTCAACTTCCCTCTGATACGTTACAACAGGTATTCCCGAAATTTTTAATATGTCAATCATGACCAGATTTAATAACTGATTACAACGGCAAAAGCAATAACTGGAAGGATAACGTGATGGATCGAAAATTACAGGCACGGAGAAGAACCCGGATGCAGGATTATTTTGCCCTACCTCGACGCAAAAAAATGGATAAATAAGGCAGCAAACAAGCGCTGAAATATAATAGGTGGCCGAAGGATGATGTCGAAGTAAGACTGCATCATCATCATGACTAAAAAATAAAAACAGCAAAACTGAGATTTTCCTCTTCATTGTAATTGCATAAAGAGACATGGTTGTTGCAACAACTGTATAAATTTTATATAAAAATTACCTCTCCGTCATGAGTATAATGCAATACATGATCCCACGGCACAATTTGTTAAACCTTCCTTCTGGAAAATCGTTTTTACGGCGGGCTTAATGTTTTCATCGTTCTTAAAATAAAGACAGGTCATGTTGTTCTCTTACGTCCAAGCTGATTTGTTTGTTTTCGTCAATTATGTTAATTATGTCGAATTAACTTATTTTAAATGTCTAGTCTAATAATTAAATTTTTTGTGTGGTGTTGTGTGGTGTTTAGTGACCGTTAGTCAATGATTATTCGGAGATCTTGAGATGCGGTCTGGTGTGACGTAGGTTTTAGAAAAACATTTTCTTTATCGTGCCAACGTTTCGATCTTTATTGAGATCATCTTCAGGGCCTGGGAATTACAAACATTGTTTAAATTTAATAAATACATGTAGGGTGTGGAAAAAAGTGAATTTATACAATGCAAAAAATATATATATATTTTATATATTCATTCAAAGTATTCCTACTCACCTTGATTGAATGTAAAAAATATATATTTTTTTTTTGCATTGTATGAATTCACTTTTTTCCATATTCTACATGTATTTGATAAATTTAAACAATGTTTGTAAATCCCAGGCCCTGAAGATGATCTCAATAAAGATCGAAACGTTGGCACGATAAAGAAAATGTTTTTCTGAAACCTACATCGCATCTCACGATTTCTGAATAATCATCGACTAACGGTCACTAATCACCATATATTTTGCATGGTTAACAACAAATACTGCAAACAAAAAGCCGAAGAAAATTCAATCTTGTGAAGAAAAATTGAACAAAGATCGTTACCTTGAATTCAAATGTACTGTGTTAAAAGGGCAAAGAAAGAAAAAAAAAGCTGCCTGCAGAACATTGGTTTATTAATGATTACAATGACCTAACCATTAAAATATGGATTATTCTAGTCCATATAGCCACGATATTTGCCTGGTTTATACTGCACGTTATTTACCCTTTGGGAAAATCCTGGCAAAATTTATTTATTTAATTCTAGATATTAAATTAATAATAATCATATAGATATGATCAGTAGTGATCAAAATGAGATAGCTATGTCCAATTCCCATGGCAAACAGGGGAGCCAACTTTGCTTTTCTGTCAGTTTATTTGTTTTGTTTGTTTTTTAGATGATCGGAAGTCGTGTAGTCATTGCTGTTTTGGGAATTCTGACTTTTCCTCCCGATGGCACTGGGAATCACAGGAGGGGGTCCATCGCGTAGGGGGGAATAAAACGGACGCCCAGCCTCAACCGACCGCGACTATCAGTCCAGTGGCTTCCAGTGTCAAAAGGATATCGCCTGCAGTAGCAAAAGGACTCACGACTGTCAACACTCAACTGAAACGGTGAGCTTTTTTTTCAAAATTACCGACGGGATTCAAGAAAACCCTCGTATTTGGGAAAAAAAACACATCGTAAAATATGCTGAAAAATATTTGAGCATGGTAATAACAGTCATTTTTAACATCACGCCACATGGACTAAAAGTCAACATTTCTCTAAGGATAATTAATATAAACAGTAATAACCAACCGGTCCTGTTTTGGCGAATAGCCAACCATAAAGAGATCAAGAACAACAAGGCTTTAATTAACCATCACTAGTAAACCAAACCATTTATTTAAATTTATACTTTAACAAAATTTCATTACGAATGTGGAAATGGAAAAGACTTTGCCAAACATTTTGCCAGAGAAGATAAACCTAGTTTATTAGAAACATTATGTAAGGATTATTAAAAATAAATAGAATTTGATATAAAGTAATTTAATTAAAGTCGCTAGAATACAAAACGCCGTTGTCCCNTTTAGATTCAAAAAATGAATTTATACAATGCTAGAAAATTTTAAATTCAAAAAATGAATTTATACAATGCTAGAAAATTTTAGATTCAAAAAATGAATTTCTGCGTTGCTAGAACATTTTAGGTTCAAAATTACAGTAGATTAAATTTTATAGTAAAAATTCACTTACTATATCGTCTCCGGAGATTTTGATTGCAATTCACTGTACAAATTTTTTCTTTTCTTTTTGTCCAGGTGAAAAATGAAGGAGACACTTTTTCTTATGACCATAATCGGGCTGATATTTCACAGTGAATGCCAGGTTTCAAATCTGCGGAGACAAGGTACATCCTATTAATGGGACTGCATTTCTTTTCGATCAGAATTTGAGTCAATTTCAAAGAAAAAGTGCCGAAAATAAATGTTGTACGAAGGAAATTTTAAAGTTTCAGACGAGTGCAGGACGCCAAATGGACTCTCTGGGGTTTGTTACAATATCAGACAATGCCAGAGTCTTCTTGACTTGCTGCGAAAATCAAGAAATAATCCAGATACTCGCGATTTTCTTAGGAAGTGAGTTTAACAACTAACCGTAATATTGAAGTTTTAAAATAAAATTAACCATCTCCGGCAGGTCTTTGTGTGGCTATGACAGTTCTGACCCTCGAGTGTGCTGTCCTAACCCTTCAGCCCAGCAGCCGGTGGATTCGTGGATGAATAAGGCAGAAATCAACAACGGGAATCCTCAAAGGTCGAACGATTCTTTCCCGAAACTGCCTTCCCCTCCACAGTGCGGGTTCTCGCCGATTACCCATCCGAGGATCGTTGCAGGTTCTCCAGCCCATTTGGGTAAGTTATTAGACTTAAGATAAAATGTTTTGATGGTTTATAATTTTAAAAAATTTATATTACAATCATAAAAATAATAAACTGCTACCCACTGTGCCATGATGAAAGTTATCATATTTTCTTGGGATTATAAAATTGGGCGGTGACAAATTGAGCGACCCCATGGGATTAACCAAAGTAGGTATGTAAAATGAGCCGGTTATGGTTTTATTACCTTTACCAGGAGATGTAAAATGTACTAATGGCAGAAGGAAGAAGTTGGAGTCATAAGTTCATAATGTTGGTGAAATGCCATCAAAACCACATCCGTCAATTAAACAAATCATGAATTAGATTTAGGTTAGGTGCAATTTCGTCAAAAACACATACAAATAATTAGTTATTAAGGGTGTACTTTACTATACGCAGCGCTGAGGCTGTCAACGAGCTGAGCTGCTTATTTCGTGATTCTCGTATACTGATAACTGTGACCTGATGAAAGCTTGTTTTGTGAGTGCTTGTTGTGAATGTCTACTTCAAATATAAAGTGAATACCTACATTAAAACTTACCCTCATTTGATCTCTCCTATTCCATTGTGGACTGCTTGCGATATTTGAAGTTATTTATAATAAGTTGCAAACACCCACGCTGCCGGTGACCAGATTCACTTCAACGTTCTCTTCGTGCGCTCCCGACATAATTGAATGAATAGATCATCTTAAAAAGGGGCCATCTCCAACTTTTCAAATTTTATAGGAAAAACAAAAAACTTATTATAAAGTTTAAATTTTGTAGAATTGTCACCGATTGTTTTTTCTCTTTTGTTTTGTTTTGGATAATTTTAACCCGTTCTGGTACAAAGGAAAATTAATTTTTCACGATAGATATGACCCATTTTCAAAATGAACTTTGACTTGGGTTTTCAAAAGCACAACACAAGTTTTCTTGTTTTTAAGTGTATTTGCATTCTTTTAAAATCCACAAATATATATTTCGCACTCCCACACCTAATTTTTTTTATCTCTTGTTTTTTCTTATAAATAAAGTTTTATATTTACTGTTGTTGTTTTAATACTAAATATATAAAAGTTAAAATGTAGAACATCGATGGTTGACGTCGTTGTCCCATCCTTAGACTCTGTTTACATGACCATTGCCTGGCTCACTTTTCTTTGACCGGCTCTTTTTACATCAGGGATGAAGTGTGTGGTGTTTAGTGACCGTTAGTTAATGACGGTGCCAGACCGCATCTCACGAGTTCCAGATAATCAGGGATTAAGGTTGGCGGGCATTCCAACCTCAGGTAGATGTAAGATCGTCTCAATTTGCCATCGCCCATAAAATTGAGTCCCTTACTTGAAAAAAAAAAAAGCGCTATACACACCTACATCTCATAAATTTCATTAAATATTGCATTTTTATTGGTTTAAATAATTAAACAAAACTTAAGTTCGAATTTTTTATATTTCGCAATGTCTAGAAAATCTACCAAAAGTTATGTTTTGCTTAAAATTATATCAATAACTGCCTGGGAAGTTAAGGGGCAGTTGCGTTCGGTCCTGGAACCAAATATTTAGAACTAATGGAAAAATACACCAGCATCTTCCATATCTTCCAGGCTCCATGCAATTGAGAGATGTACCCAGTTCAATTTGTACAAAGGGTTCAAAAATAAGAATAAAACTATCATGTCAAATAACCAAGCAGTCATCAAAGCACTAAGTTCAAAAATCGTTAGCTCAAAGATGGTGCTGAAATAGATGAGGTATGCAATATAAAGTCACTCTGCTGGGGTCCAGGACACGGGCAAGAAGAGGCCAAAAAGAGACACCCTTTCACAAACACCCTTACACGGAAAGAGATTGTTATACCACTGTAGGTAGGTGTCCTGAGCCCTACTGAATATACACTATCAATACACCTTAAACAAAAGGACAACATGAAAATGAAGAAAGAGTGGATTCACTCATTAACAATTTAAGAACCTTAGAGTAAATTTGCGAAGTACAAACAAGAATACATCAAAGGAAGCAGGAAAAACTATGAATCCTGACAGGGCACTACAGACTGAATGGCCATCTGAAAAAGATTGGTATTTTAGTGACTGGGAGTTTTGGTGGCCCTGAAAAGGGCCGGTGTTGTTTCGTATCGTCGAGACGACGGATCGAGGCCGAGACTGTGTGCGTGGTGCCGTTGGTGGTGGTCTGTGACAGAGCAAACCGTTGGCTGAGGTCCGAGACCCGTGAGTCAATTGACTCCGCATTGGCTGAAGGGACTTGTGTGCAACAATTAGCCGAGTGCAGCAGTTGGCGTGTTTAGCCAAGTCGGCTGTGTAGAGAAGGCGAGAATCAGGTTAATTCTCCGGGTACCTTTGCTGTCGTCGTGGTCGATGTCGATGACGGTGTTCCATTAGTAATTTGTGAGAACTCGTTGAGGAGACGATTCTTGAGGTATAAGTGAGACCTCGTCGAGTTGAGGAGTCTGATTTCAGTGGAGCAGTGCCCCTGCTTATATTCGGAAGGGCTTTACTCTGGTTGGCTGCAGAGTGGAGGGCAAGAACAACCCATAAGCGATAGTGGCCACGACAGTATAACCCAACAAGACATGTGCAAAGAAGCAAAAGAGATACCAAACACCTACCAACAATGAGCCACATTTGCCCACAGGAGGAAGTGTTTTGGGATGTACAATGTAACCGTAATGAAACTGAGCCTACTAATCAAATTTCTTGATGAACTGGTACTCTCTAGTGTGCTAAAAGTACAAAACGGAGGAATACAAGAGCTCTCAAAGAGGGCAGTACATTACACCCCGAGCATTACATCTTGCATCTTACAGCTGTCTTGCAATTAATAAATTATATTTTTAGTGCCGAAAAAACTGCGTTAGAGTATGATAGAAAGAGGTGTGAGGCCAGATCTTGTTCAACGAAAAAAATATACACAATATAATCACAATTAATATTTTAAAAAAAGGTCCTTCGTATATTTAACAACATATTGTACAAGAAATTCTTATTTCCTTATACAAATAATAATCATTCAACAAGGGATTGTACCTTGATTAATTTTTATTTTTTATTTATTATTATCTGTACAAAATAACTACATTGAGCAAATATTATAGTTAATTATGTACAAATCTGACAGATCTGTCAGACCAGGAGACAGTAACCATCATTGTTTTACACATGGAGGATTATTAGAATGATTATTAGAATGGGACATTGAGGAAAGAGTTTGTGTTAGTGGGTTAGAGTGGAAGGATAGTTTAGAGTGGAAATAGAGGAAGCGTGTTCGAATCAGATCCTTCACAAATGGGATTTTCAGGTCTTTATGGATCATTTGATTAGTGACGTAGAAGGGAACTTGGAGGAAATGGCAGGGAACTTTGGATTGAAAGGATTGGATTCATTGGATGGTGGAGAATGAGACCAGCCCAAGTTCGATTCTGTAAGTCCAAATCAAACTGATGAGAGTTTTGTATGTGGTTTGTTTGTTATGTATGCTTAGTGTTGATTCTGGTCACAGTAGGTGTCTGAGTGGTCTATATCTTTTATGTACTTTTCTTTTTAATCTTGTGTATGGGTTCTATGTAAGTCTGATGTCTATGTGAAGTCCAACATAATGGACTTGGTTGGATGGTGGTCTTATTTTGTTTACATGTAGTTTTATTTATTTATTTATTTTTTATTTTTTTGTTCATTGAACCTGATTCACCACCGATTGCACCAATCAGTAGTGAGGTTACGTGTTGTTGGATTCCTTCTATGGGTAAGTTAGGATTGGTGTATAAATAAGATTGCGGAGTCATCCATGTAGGTTATGAGTTTGAATGTGTCAGAAGTGTAGGCTAGAGGATTGGATCTAGACTACTTCCTGTGAAATGTCAGCTTGATTAGATTGATGGGATGAAAAATCGGATTAGATAAATTAAAAAATGAAAAGAAAAAATATATACCACAAATTTCTCACAATGTCACAAAAGAACAACATATCCTTCTACAAGTGCACTCCTTTTAGGATTAACTCCTTATATCCTTCCTTGAACTTATTTGCAATGATCATCCCCTTTCTTCCACAATATAGGTTTTTATGTATGACCAGTCATCATAGAGGAAAGGGGTTGAGTAAGAGTGAAATTGAAGTGAGAGATAAGGAGAAAGAGCAAAAGATAAAGAGAATGTGGGGTGTGTAAAAAATTGGGGTTTTTAATTAATTTCTAAAAATATTTTATTTCAGGTGCATGGCCCTGGATGGCAGCTTTAGGGTACAAGAAACGGCAAAATTCACCCGTAAACTACCTATGTGGAGGTGCCCTAATAACCAACAAGCACGTCGTTACAGCTGCCCACTGTACTCAACACCCATCTTTAACTCTGTAAGTATGTGCCTCATTTACAGACAAGTTCAGTCCTAATAAAAATTGTTTAGGCATGTTGTCCGACTTGGAGATCTCAATATTGACGACAGAGTGAAAGACAATGCCACACCAATTGACTATGAAATAGAAAAAGCCATGACCCATCCTGGCTACGATGCAAGAAGACATACAAAGGATATTGCCCTAATTTACCTTAAACAAACTGTTCAATTTACTGGTAAAACATTATTCAATTTTTAATTTAATATGAATATTTTTTAAAGTATTAATATTTTTTTAGATTTAATCAAGCCTATCTGCTTGCCCAAAAGTGAACCGCTTATAAGCAGTAATTTTGAAAAGAAAGCACCTTTCGTCACCGGTTGGGGATCAGTTAAATACAGTCAGCACACAATTAATTATTTTATTAATTTAATCAGCAAAAATTCCTTATTTAATTTAAACAAAAAATTTTCAGGAGGACCTTCTTCATCTGAATTGTTGGAGATTCAAATTCCAGTTGTCTCTAATGCAGAATGCCAAGCTGCTTATACTCGCCTCGGAGCAACCATCACTCCAAATGAAATCTGCGCAGGGCTTAAAAACGGTGGAAAAGATGCTTGTCTGGTAAGACGATTTTGAATTGTCAGATCGAATGTATGGGGTGAGTTGTCTAATGTGCTTTCTTCCTCAGGGTGATTCCGGCGGTCCAATGATGATGCCTGAAGAAGGACAACACTATTACCTCATTGGTGTCATCTCATACGGCCACGGATGTGCAGAACCAGGCTACCCTGGCATTTACGCCCGTACGACTGCGTTTATAGACTGGATTCACAGAAACATATAAAAATACTTTGAAACAAATTGTATTTAAACCTTTTTAAGACAAAAAAAAATTTGCATGCTAGTCGAGATATTTGTTCGTTTCGTAAAAATTGTGTTCTGTCAACAGTGTGGTGTATTTTTTATGCTTTCTCTTTAGTAATATCTGTAAGTAATTAGAATTTTTGACCCATTGATTAGTTAAAAACCCATTAGAATATTTTTTTGTCCTGGAATGTTTATATTATTGTACTTATCTTGCTTCTGAAGAAATTGTAATGCTCAGAATGTAAAACCATGTACCTGTCGAAGAATTAAATTAACAATGACGAGTTTTAAATTATACATGTAAATAAATAAAAAATTAAAAAATTGATGATTTCCAATTGGCTTTTGGTGTTTCACCAACCCTAACTACGATACAAATTATTCCTAATTTACCATTAACATGCACTTATAAATTATATTATATTAATTATTTCAATTCTTATTTTTATCGAAGGTCTTCAGCGAGAGGAAAACCAAAATATCGGCAGAACAAGTCGAAAAGGCGATTTTTGTTAATGTATTTTTTTAGTCAATGTTTTTGTCAGTGCCTTCGACTGCCTCGACCAAAGCAGAGGCCGACATTCTTGACGCGGCGGAGAGACTTCGTCTTCTTCGTCCCGACTTCTTGGCCAAGAAGACGTACAACTGCTTCTGGAACGCCTTTTCGACTTGTTCTGCCATTATTTCGGTTTTATAGAAATCTTAGAAATACTGGCTGCAACTTGGCAGATGCATGTGGAAAGAGATTTCTAGTAACACAATCGAGGCGACCTTGACTTCGAGAGATTAACCTAATCAATACCTGCTGAATAGTCGGGGATGAATCAGAAACAAAACAACTTGGACATTTACTTTTCCATTTATTATCAAATAAAATGTTTCAGTAAACATCAACAAAAAACTTAAATATGAAGCTGCAGAATAATGAATTAGCGTGACAAAATATTTTCCAAACTGGAAAGTCGTATTGCACATCTTCAAAAAAAGTTGCCGTTACTATCCACCAGTCACCACCAAAACTTAAAAATACCAAAATAAAGAATGTACAAGTTTTAAGAAGAAATCAAGTAATACCTCAAATTTTTATAGTATAAATAATTAAATATAATATATAATTAATCACCAAAAAATAACTAGTATATATGACGCATATAATAAAGATGAGCCAAATGAATCTTTAGGATTTCGTTGCTTGCTATACATTGGTGAGCTATCAGGAAAAGTAAGAAAAATAATTAAACGAGAAAAGTTTGGAGTAGCTTTTAGAGGTACATACACACTTAGAAACATCTTCTTAAAACCTAAAGACAAGGTTGACAACTTGTCAAAACGCGGCATTTATAAACCATATTCCTAAATTTAAGGACCATCAAAATTAAACAAAACACAATTTCAATTTAAAAACAACAGTGTTTTTTCTTTTAGAGAGCTGCCCCTTACACGTTTTTCAACTAGCCTTTCGAGTGTTTTGAGTAGAACTGATTGTTCTATATGATTTTACAACTGTGTAGTTATTCGTGCAACTTTAGAAATGAAAACTGCTTTTACTTTCTCCATGTGCTTGGGATCCCATTGCCAGGTAGCTTCCGTATATTTTTACAAGCAGGGGATTAAGGTTATTTTTCCCTTTTGTAGGAGTACTGGGTATATCCCGTCTGTTCCTGAAGATTTGAATGTGCTGAAGTTCTTGAGACTTGAGAACATGGAAATAAAAATTTATTTATTTCATTGACAGAAATTAATACTTTATTCGTCAACGAGTCGGGAAAAGTATACAGTTTTACATGAAATATTTTAATATCACCAGCAAATAATTTGTTGGATTCGTGAGGAGTGGTCAAGAATGAGGTAGTTTAGAGAAACGCCTTTTTTATCTTTTGCCAACGTTTTGACTTATCCAAGTCATCTTCAGGGCCTGGGTGGATTACAGAACATATGTTGATTGAAAAAATACAATGAAGATGTAAATATAAACTTTGAACCAAGTATTTCATACCCACATAAATTGTGGTGCTATTCTTGTGTGACATCAATTTGTATAAACTAAAAAACACACATGCCAGTAAAGTTAAAACTTAAAAGGAATACTTGTTATATCTGTAGAATACAATACACACACACACACACACACACACACACCCACAGACAGAGGAAAAGTGACAAGTTGAATAATTATAGAAATGGGATTACTAATTTTTGTTTTGTTTTTTTAAGAATTTGGGTGTGTGATGGTACAGGAAAAATGGCAGGAGGACTCTATGTGGCTATGTAACAATATGTGTCACTTTTAAATTGGTGGGAATGTACTGTCAACATTCACAAGAAGTGGCATATTTTACTTCTGTGTTGAGCTTTAAAGCGTAGGTGTGACTATTCTGTTGTGTCATAGCATAGAAGCTGTAAAAAAAAAAAAATTGTACTATTATAATTGCCTAAAATATTTATAAAAATCAATAGTTGGGGCATCACTGAACGAAACAGTTTACTTATAATTTTTTTAACACCAGAACTCTGGTGATTAATATGGCCTCAAGCTTGAAACACCCCTATTGAAAAATAAAATGTCATAAATAAAAATGTCAAGTTAATTTGGCTCCAGTTAATAGAAAAAGGTTTACAATTGAGAAATAGATATAGTTCCATAGTTGAAAACATATTTGATCTTTTAACTGCGCGCGTGCGTGTTTGTGTGTTAATATAAATAATATATTATAATCAAATAAATGATATAATCAAAGGTAAATATTCTTTGTACTCCTACAACTAATTGATCAAGAATTCTTATGTTTACATACGTTTATATGTTTGCTAGTAAACTGTTATCTATTGTATTCATGATAACTTTACTTGCAATGTGTGTTGTTTTAGTTTTTACAAATTCACATTTCACAACAATTTTTCACAACACTAACATAGCATCGCAAGAATAGCACCACAATTAACTTAATGTGAGTAGGAACCATCTTTTTTAAAAAGGATTGAACTCCACGCTCACCCCATCATTTATAATTTCTAGCACCACAATTTATGTGAGTATGAAATACTTGGTTCAAAGTTTATAGTATTTATATTACTATCCACCCAGGCCGTGAAGATGACCCTGATAATGGTCAAAATGCTGGCAAAAGATGAAAAAGGCGTTTTTCTAAACTACCTCATTCTTGACCGCTCCTCACGAATCCAGCAAATTATTTGCTGGTGATATTAAAATATTTCATGTAAAACTATATACTTTTCCTGACTCCTTGATGAATAAAGTATTAATTTCTTTCAATGAAATAAATAAATTTTTATTTCCACGTTCTCAAGACTCAAGAACTTCAGCCCATTCAAATCTTCAGGAACAGATGGGATATACCCAGTACTCAAAGGGAAAAATAACCTTAATCCCCCTGCTTGTAAAAATATACGGAACCTGCCTGGCAACGGGATCCCATGCATGGAGAACTGTAGAAGTAGTTTTCATTCCTAAGGTTGCACATATAACTAAACAGTTGCGAAATCATGTAGTCCAATCAGTTCTACTCAAAACACTCGAAATGCTATGGTTTTGAGATGTTTCTAAGTGAATATGTACCTCTAAAAGCTACTCTAATCTTTCTCGTTTAAGAATTTTTTCTGTTTTCTGATAGTTCACCAATGTATGGCAAGCAACGAAATCCTAAAGATTCATTTGGCTCATATCTTTATTATATGCGTAATGTATACTAGTTACTCTTTCTGGTGATTAATTATATATTATATTTAATTATTTATACTATAAAAATTTGAGGAATTATTTGATTTCTTCTTAAAACTTGTACAAAACTTTATTTTTGGTATTTTCAAATTTTGGCGGTGGTAGTAACGACATCTTTCTTTGAAGATGTGCAATGACTTTCCAGTTTAAAAATGTTTTGTCAAGCTAATTCATTTATTTGCAGCTTCCGATTTGTTTTTTGTTGATGTTTAATACAACATTTTATTTTATAATAAATGAAAAGGAAAAGTTGAAGTTGTCTGTTTCGTCCCCTACTATTCAGTAGGTATTGATTAGGTTAACCTTTCGAAATCGAGGTCGTGTCGATTGTAGAAACTAGAAATCTGTTTCCACGTGCGTCGGCCGAGTTGCAGCCAGTCTTTCTAAGATTTCTATAAAACCGAAATAATGGCAGAACAAGTAGAACGTGCGTTCCAGAAGCAGCCGTACATCTTCTTGGCCAAGAAAGTCGGGACGAAGAAGACAAAGTCGCTCCGCCGCGTCAAGAACGTCGGCCTCGGCTTCAAGACCCCGAGGGAGGCGGTCGAAGGCACTTACATAGACAAAAAGTGCCCGTTTACCGGCAACATTTCCATCCGAGGCCGTATCCTCACAGGGACCGTGCAGAAGATGAAGATGCAGAGGACGATAGTCATCCGTCGAGATTATCTCCATTACGTCCGCAAGTACAATAGGTTCGAGAAAAGGCACAAGAATCTATCTGTCCACCTGTCTCCTTGCTTCCGGGACGTCGAAATCGGCGACATCGTCACCGTCGGTGAGTGCAGGCCCCTCAGCAAAACCGTCAGGTTCAACGTGTTGAAAGTCTCTAAAGGAACCAGCTCGAAAAAAGCATTCAAAAAGTTCTAATCCCAACTCTTTTTCAATGCCTTTTTTTTTTTTTTTTTCAAAAGTTTAGCTAAGACAATTTTACCTTTTGAGTTCAGTTTCTTCTTCAGTAATAAAAAATTTATGTTATACTTTATTTCAGTTTAATAATAAAAGCTATAACTTTTTACAGTTTTTTTTTTCCCAAAGATTACCTTAATCCAAAAAAACTAATCAGATGTAGATACAAACACACCCGTGAAGACAACGAAATTTTTAATAGAATGAGCCTAGGATATAGGCCGACCAGAACAGGTTCAATACATCTGAAATTCATGAGAGTGTGAGGCTTCTTTTTGGCGAGGTGGTTAATTGATTCATCTAGTTGAACAGAACGGTGACAAGAAAGTCCTGTAGCATATGATTGGGTACTGCGTGAATTGCTGACGCAGTTCTCGTCGTGAGTGGCCAGTAGGTTCATGTTTTGCTCATGTTCTCATTCTGACTGGTTGATTCAAAAGATCCAACTCGACCTCACAAGTTGCGTGGTTGATTCAACTCAGTAAAGCATTGAAATTGGAAAAAACGCAAAATTAGTACTGAGATGTGGTACATGGAGTGTGAGGAGTAAAGCGAGTGAAAGTTGGAGCGATGTGGCACGACAGTTGCAGAAGAGCAAGTGCAAGGTGTTCCTACTTCCTCGTGTTCTAATAGTACTGAATTGGACGAGAAGTAGATTCCGCAAGTTTTGCCTGGTGTAAATTGTCTCATGGCTGTCCAGCAGGCAACTTTGTTAAATCGATCAGCCCTAAAAGAAGTCTAGCTGTTCTAATTCCAACGAAAAGGACATGCATGCTGGTCATAACGTTATTGACATATTGCTGCAAAGTGGGTGGGGGCGATGGTGAAAATTGAAATTACTGCCTGCATTGAATATGTTACGTGCATAATAAAGACAAAAAGTGAAATGTATATTCTCATAATAAAATTTAAATTAATAGGTCCTGGTACAATGAAAAAATTCCAGTTAAAAAGTTCAAATATTTTTCCAGCTATGGAACTACATATTTCTCATTTGTAAACCTTGTTTTATTAACTGGAGCCAAATTTACTTAACATTTTTATTTATTTGACATTTTATTTTTTTAATAGGGGTATTTCAACCAGGATTAATCCCTAGGGCCCTGCGTTCCGGTGTTAAAAACAATGTTATTACGCTGGGTAAACTGTTCCAGTCACTGTTGCCCTAGCCATTGGTTCTTATATTTTGTTCGGCATTTATAATAGTACAAATGTGTGGTTTTAGTATAGAACTACTACTCTAACTCTAAAACCTATGTCACACCAGACCGCATCTTACGATCTCCTAATAATAATACAATCCCCCCCCCCAGCCTCTACACAATGAAACACTCACACCTATGCTTTAAAGCTTGACACAGCGCTAAGATATGCCACTTTTCATGGTGGTGACAACAGTGCTGCATAGCAGCAAGGACTCCATCTACAATTGTGTCATTTTTCCTGTATCATCATACACCCGAATACTTAAACAAAAGTAAATAATCTGGCTTTTATAATTTTTAAACTTGTGTGTGTGCAATATAATCAAAACTAAATATTCTTTGTACTCCTGCAACTCAGGGATCAAGTATTCTTATGTTTATATACATTGATATGTTATGCTGCTAAACTATTATCTATTGTATTCATTGTACATTAAGTGTTCCTTTTAAGTTTTAACTTTACTGGCAATGTGGATTTTTTTAGTTTTTACAAATTCACTTTTCACAACAATTTCACACAGCACCAATATGGCACCGCAAAAATAGCGCCACAATTTATGTGAGTATGATATTCTTCGTTCAAAACATCTGCATTGCATTTTTCCAATTGGCATGTTTTATAATTCAACCAGGCCCTGAAGATGACCTAAATTAAGGTTGAAACGTCGGCAAAAGATGAAAAGTTTTTCTAACCTACCTTGATCTTGACTGTTCCAGATTCTCGAAGTTGGCTGGTTTGGTCACCAGGCAACTTAGTTAAATCGATCAAACCTGTATATATGGACATGTACATTACAGTAAACATGGAATCTGGTCACATTCTCTCCCCCAAAGAACTCGATATTCATTGGGGTGGGGTTGTACCCACTCCCATCTTTCTAATAACTTAATTGTACTCACAAGACATTACACACTCAAATCTGTCTTTCATGTAAAATTTTATCCCTATAAAATAAAATAAAAGAAAACAAAACACATGAAAAAAAAGAAAAAGAACAAAAGGTACAATTATGAAGATATTGCTAGCCTTGTAATTTTATAATAATAAAAAATGTAAAATTAAAAATAGAGATAAATGCATAAATAATATAACCTATTTTGATTTATATTCTATTTTAAACATGAACCTAAATAACATTTGACACTCAAATTAATCACTAATTTAAAATTATTTTCTTATAGTGAAAAATTAGACTATGTGAAAAATGTTTGATGTGTGGAATGTAATGTGATGATACAGGTATAATATCTCTATTGAATTTGATTAATGATATTGGCGTAGCTGCGACTGAGTTTACATGTATCTGTTCTGTAATTGATGCTGTGTTTATCTCTGTTGATGATCACAATAAAGATCGAAACGTTGGCACGATAAAGAAAATGTTTTTCTGAAACCTACATCACGCCAGACCGCATTTCACGATTTCTGAATAATTTATTTGTTATGTTGAACACATTGTACGTTATTATATGATGTAGCAAGTGGCTCTGGCAACCAGCTAATGCCGAAAAAAAAAAAAAAAAATGTTGAAAACTAGCTTCTCTCATTGGAATGTCGCGATGACGGATTCCTACTTATAATTCATCTCGAGAGATGTAGGTGTAACTCCTTTTAACCTGATAATGAGCGTTTAATGCTTGAAATCCTATCTGTGCCTCAATTTTTTTTTTAATTATTATAAAAGGTGATCAATTGCTTTGGGTCATTTTCTGCCTTAAAAGCTTTCAAGCCGCCACTCATCAGTGGGCCACAGCCCAGGATAGCAGAAACCAGGGCCCCGGGCATATCAAGCGCCCTGGATACCCTTTCACAACCACCACCCGACAGGCACCCCAAGACACCTCCCAACATTGAGTGAAATATAAATTATTGCATAAAATGAATATTCTTTTGTATTAAATTATTATATCATTTTATCTACATATTTACGAAATTAGTTTAGTTTTTTTAAAGGAAAGTTAGTAATTTGTCTATTTGGTCAGAGTCATCACCAAGCGAGTCTTTGATGTTGGTTGGAATTTTCAGCCGATGTCTTTCTCCTTCATATTTTTTTTTTTTTTTTTTTTTTTTCAATTTGTCAAAATGTGTTTAACTGTTATTCTTTCTGTGCAAACATCACAAAGCGGAGTATCTTTTTTTGCCATGAGATAAGAATGAGTAAGCCTACAATGACCAATTTTGAGCCTAGTAAGGACAACTTCTTCGTGCCTGGAACCTCTATGAGATGAGGCCCACGGTTTTACACCATTTCTGACCTCCCTAAGTTTAACATTAGAAGTTGTTTCCCATTCTCTTTGCCATAACTGCCAAGACTTTCTTTTATGCCAAGCTGTCACATTGGATTTTGGTGTTTTTTGTAATTTTAAAACCATTAAGGATGGCCTGCTTTGCCAAATATTCTGCAGTGTCCAGGAATCCACATGAATACTACTCTATTTCCCTGATTTTGCAGAGATTCAATGGTAAATAGGATGTCTCGTATCAATGGATGTACAGAAAAGTTGTTTTTAAGTGCTAATAGCGTTATACATGTTGTTTTTTTTTCGAGTTTCGAGTTTATTTATTAGTTACTTTTACATACATTTTGTACAAAGTGACTACAAGGGGAAATGTATGTCTAGGACATTACACATCCTTGTGGCAGAGGGCTTAAGTATATTTACAATATTTGTTGATTTGGCCTAGAGAAATAAGAACAGTGGTGAAAATTATACTAAAAACCACTAGCAGAAAGAATACATTAAAGTGGTTTTTAAGTGATGATTTAATGATTACATATATTATAAATTATAAATCATAAGTCATTGACTACATATGTACAATAGATAAGTTTGATAAACAACACATTTCTTTAATATTAGCTAATTTCATAAATAAGTTAATAAATAAGCAAGTTTATAAATAATTACTAATTATTATAAGTTAAAATCATTCAATAGACTTGTACAATACATAGTCTGACATTTACTAATTTGGTAAATAAATATATAAACAGTAAAATTAACAATTTAATAAATAATATCACAGTGAATAAATATACAAAGCAGTCATACTAGAATGTCTTTGATCCTCCTGTTTCCAATTTTTGTTGAGGTTATAGATTCCTACATTCTTTACTATTTGTACTCTCAGCGCTACGTTTATAAAAGGATCTAGTGATCCTTTTGATATCATCCTTAATGTATGGGAAGTTTAAAATTTCGTGCATATAATTTATACGAACACCTCTTTTAGAGGATGTAATTAACCTTAAAAATTTATTTTGAACTGTTTGTAGGCACTTTATATTGGTGTTACTTGTGTAGCTCCATACCTGACAGGCGTATAACAGCATTGGTCTGACTATGGTTTTATATATAATGAGTTTATTTTGGAGGCTCATCCCAGATTCTCTAGACATTAAAGGGAACAGAGTCTTGATAGCACACTTCCCTTTATCAACCATTTTACAAGTGTTGGTACCAAAGTTAAGCTTGCTATCTAGGTGTACACCAAGGTATTGAACACTATTGCGCCAAGGAACATTTGAGTCACCGATTCTTATAAATTCCCTATGTAGAGGATGTCGTTTTGTGAATAGAATTGCCTCAGTTTTTGTTGTGTTTAACCTGAGTTTCCATCTGTGGCAAAACCTAACGATCCTATGGAGGTTTCGGTTCAATTTGTTAGTAATAGCACTTACCCTCCACGATGAACCGTTTATTGCTATGTCATCAGCATACATAGCTATTTCACAGTCTAGCCTAGGGAGTGCATTCATAAATATATTGAACAAGGTTGGCCCTAGAACCGAACCTTGTGGGAGGCATGTATATATGACAATCGTTTCGCTGGATGGGGCTAATGTAGTTAAGCACTTTGCTATTGCTATAATCTCAGCAGTGTAGCTGCTACATATAGGTGGTAGGGTAAACATACATTGTGCATTATTATTATAAGTAACCACCCCAACCGACTCAATTCTGTAAGAAGAATCATCTTTTACAAAACATGTTATCCCACATCTGTAAGTTTGTTTCATTACCGCTAGGACGAAGCAGCATCATAACCTTACATTTCTGTTTTGCATTTTATCAATTTTTGATAAAATTTGGAAGATATTTTAAATCGAATGTTTTTTTATTATTATGAAACGCGTCAAAAACTGGAATTTTGTCGATTCGAATTCTACGCTTGCTCGAGTTCTCGTCGAATTTCTGTCTTTCCAAATCCGCCCGCCTGGTAGCGGTCTCGCCGTCTCGCCTTCCAGCCCCCCCGTGTAATATGGCGTAATGGATCCGCTCTGATATCGAATTTGTTTGTGTTCAAGTGGCCCACAGCTCCCCTTTGACATCCGCTCTACTCATGGTACTCAGCTCAAGGTACGTCCCGAGACATTTACGAAACCGGCCGAGATCGGACAGAGACGACGGCCGGACCCGTTCACCTCTCGGAAATCACTTTTTCTCACCCAATGTCAACTACCTTGACAAGCAGCGATATTAAATTAATGCTCGTTTTTCTTCTCAGAAACTCACCTTAATTTGATGAGATGCGGCCTTTTTCATCTCATTGACCCCTCTTCCCGGCGCATTTTCACTCTGCGGGCCTTTCTGAGCTCTTTTTTCCGTTCGATCCGACCAGAGATTTTGACAGATAAAAGGCTACGTTTTAACCTAAAAGCTTATTCACTTATGCATCGGGATCTTTACAATTCAGTTACGTTTCGTAGAAAAGCTCTCGTCTTCCTTTCTACACGAGCAAAAGAGAAAAAGAACCTAATTTTAACAATTAACAGCTGTAAAAACCTAATTGCTCAATAATTAAAATATTCGAAACCGCTTTGTTTTTCTCGGCCAGTGATAAAAAAATCCCCTTTTACACTGAAGCCTTATCTTTTACTTTTTAAATAAATAATATGCTTAAGAGAAATATTGTCTTGTTATTTTTCGTAACAGATAAGGGACGACGTTTCGTAATTGATCAAAACTAATGACACGACCTTGGGCGTATTCAGTGTTAACAGCTAATTTCCCCGATCTTATTTGCCCAATCCCGTCGGTTTGAGCAATGTTGACATAATTTCGGATCCAGTCTATGGACTTGTAAAAAAAAAAAATCTGTTTCGACAAATCAACACATTTGCAATTGCATTTTATATCCTGTTGGTCATGAAAATAGTTTGAAAACTTTTGGCACTCTGAATGTCATTCACTCCCTCTCCAAGGAGAAATGGAAATCAAAGTGATTGTTCAATACTTTTTAAAAGGGTTACAATCACTCTATCATTTATCATTTCTATTAAGTGATTGTTCTGTCGGTTGACAGGTGATCGTTTTCGGTATTATTTGAATGAATATCCCGACTGGAAATGTTTTTGAGCCATATCATTTCAGAACACGATTTGAAAAGTTTGCACATATCATGAATTGGAAGCCGTTCGTCCACAGGCCTTACATAACAACCTGTGATTATTTCAAATAAGCCGACAATTTTAAACGATTGAATTCCTGGCTAATAAACGAAGCATTGAACAATACTTAAAAAACAACAGCAAAAAATTTACTGGATTTGTTCTAATTGACTCGATTGTTACAAGATGCACATTCTTACGATTAATCCGTATATGTCTAATAATTATTTTAATTAATTATACATTTTATCTAAGACCTTCAGCTCAATATGATGCTTCTCTAACCACTCGAGCTATCTTGACTTAGATCCACTCGGACACCGGCTTCTCAAACCGAACTGAAGGCCGTGGGTCCGAATCCTTCTCATGACACTAGCTTTTTCATCTCAACCAAGACCTTAGATCAAAAATATAATTAATTAATTAAGGTTTTCAGTTAAGATAAAAAAGTCAATGGCACGAGCGGGATTCGAACCCACGATTAATTAATTGTTATTTAATTGTAAGATATTAATTGATCAAGTGGACCACGAAACTAGTGAATTTAATATAATTAATTAAAATTCTTTCCAAAATTATTGCTGGGACAATTTTCTAGAAATGTTGGCATTGCCTTTTATTTTTTAACCTTGGGTCAAGATTTCATTTGAATTTCCCTTTTAACCTGACAGGATTATGATATATATATATTATTTTTTTTTTTTACTGCAATATGACTGAGTTTGGCTTATATAAATTAGACGTTTGTCTCAAGTTAGTTTGAATAGAAACCTTTAATATATACATATTGTTTGTAATGACCCAGCTGTTTTAGCTGAGTCAATTCCAGACTAATAAATAAAGATTTCAACAATTCAGATAGACTCGATACTAAAAATATATATATTTTTTTTCAAAGCTGTCTGACTTAGGATTTATCCTCAATTTACACTATTTCATTAGGTTGTTCTTAGATGTACTTTCTTAAATGTGAGATTGTTGATGAGATAATTCTGTAGAAATTTTGAGTTTCATTTGTAACTGCAATATGATTGTGTTAGGGTTAAATAAATTTGACGTTTGTCTCACAAGTTGTAATCAACAGCTGGTCATTATTCAAAATAAGTCTAATTGAGTTAATTACACATTACATACAAGCCTTCATTATATACTTTTTGTTTGCAATGAGCCAACAGTTTTAATTGAGACAATTCCAGTCTAATAAATAAGGTTTTGAACAATTCAGATTTTCTTGATATCAAAATTTTTTAAACTTTGATTTACACTATTTGAACTTGCCTACTTATAGTACATTTAACTTTTACGCTGTTTATCTGAGAACATTTAAAAATAAATAGTTAATTCTACATTGGTTACAAGCCCTAAATGTACCCATTTGTTTGTAATGACCCAACAGTTTAATTGAGTCCATTCCAGATTAATAAATAAGGACTTTGCCTTTTCCTTTTTGGAAAGGATAGTTCTGCCCACTGGTCTTAACAGCTGGCCGGATTCGAGCATTAAATGCTCATCGACAGGCTGAAATGTATGTACATTTTAGTACTTACATTTATGTACAGTTCAGCCTGTTGATGAGCATTTAATTCTTGGAATCCAAATAGCTGTGAAAACCAGTTTGTGAGTAGAACTATCCATGTCCATATTCTTAGATGGACTTTCTTTAAGAGAGGTTGTTGATGAGATAATTCTGCAGAAATGTTGGCATTGCCTTTTCTTTTTTAATCTTGTCTCAAGATTTCAAGATTGAACCGTATTTCTGCATAACTTTGTAGGATTTGCAGCTGAAAATAATTTTTGGTGGCAATATTATTGAATTAAATAAAGGGTTAAAGAAATTAGTTGTTTGCATGTTGGTTGTAATTTACAGCTGGTAGTTAGTTCAAATAAGGCAAATTGAATTGGGATAATTGTAGACTTAAATGAGAGATTCAGATTGAATAGGCCTACTTACTAAATTTTTTGACTTTTAAGCTATTATTTGAACAAATTTGACTGTTTTTCCCCCTACCTGATATAATTGTTTCAGAAGTATGTTTTAGACATATTGACAATGTTCCTTTCATTTTCACATTACATTTTTTAAGATCTTTCTCTAAACTGGCCAATCCTGGTTTTTTGCTCTTTGTTTTTAATTTAAAATCAAGTTTTTACACCATAAAATTCAATGTTAAATATGTTGAATTGTAGTGAAATTGTGGTTATAGTAATAGTAAATGCAAATCAGCTGTTTGCCTATAAACCTTTAATTTATACTCATTTGTTTGTAATGACCCAACAATTTTAATCGAATGAATTCCAAACTAATAAACAACGATTTAAATAATTCTGATACAAAAATAGTCATATAAAAGACTCCTTATAGTGCATTTTAGGCCATAATATCTAGCTGATATTACTTGCATTGAACAGAGGCTTTTGTTGGTTGGGATCATTCTATTCATGTTTGAACAGATTGTGTTAATACACACTTAATTGCAAATATGGTTATAACAGTTCCTTTTCTCTGAAGGATTTTATTCAGATTTAAGCCCTTTTTTTAAAATTAGTCCTCACAAACTGCCAGGATTTGTCCCTTTTTGTTCCAACATTTTTTCTGCGGGGCTGGGTGTGACAGCCAGTTAGAAATGAACAGCACGATTACGGGGATTTTTGGACTCAGCTACCTTCCACACAGCACCTTATGCACCGCATTAACCAGTCCGATGCCCAACAGAAGGAATGGGCTTCAGTAGCTAAGACCTGACAACATATGTTGAAGACCAATGTTTGTTTCCACCGCAAATGTGGGCTGCACCACGTCTGGACGACTCTCTTTGAATGACAAACAGGCCGGAAGCTTTCCATCTAGATTTCAACGGCCAGTTCTATGGTTAACATTTACATTGTGATAAGTGGTTTGCAAGAGGTCCAGTCCGTCCAGTCAATCAAGAAAGGCATCTGCAACATTTTAAGAAAAGAGACCCATAACAGTATACAATTTCTACAGCAGTGTTGGCAATCATACCAGGACAATGGTGTTGTGACGAAGTATCAGTCAAAAGTAGGTGAAACAGTGCAAGAGTGAAAAAGTGAAATAATTTGGCACAGTTGTTTGTACAGAGAAACATTTATTATTTATGTTATACTATTTTCATGTTGTTATTTGAAAATTTATCTCCAGTGTGGAATTTATTAATTTAACTATCGAGTATGGAAAATTTATCTGAGATTGAAATAAATTGTAAATGTCCGCAATCATGTTCATTTGCTCTGATTAACGTATCGCAGTCGTGCTGCGTTTTTCTCCCGCAATTCTCTCCCGATTCCTGCCTTTTTTCTGCAATTGTATTGTGCCTTAACTAATTTGAACCTTATTTTGAAGTGCATTCAAAAAGTCTGTTCGGAAAGGAGTTGTTTGCAAAGGTTATAATTAATTATGGGTAAATTATTTCCAACAAGCCAATTCTAATTTAATTAATTGCAGTCTTACAAACAAGTAATGGAATAATTTAAATAAAAATGCACGTATATTTTGCCTTACAAACTAAATAATATTCGGTTGGCATGGTTTCTCTCTCTTTATAGTAATGCTCATAATAGTAATTAAAAGAAAATATGTTGAACTATGTTCACATTGGCGATGTAGGCTTTTAATTACAGTGTATGATTTTTTTTTCATTTTGTCAACAAAGGTGGTTAGGGTTTGTTGTATACAGACTATAAATGATAATTTCGTATTATTTTCAGTACGCTATCGTTTTTGTTTCTCTTAAAGAATGATTCGATTGTTTAAATACAATTTATATAGAATTTTTTTACATACTTGTAAAATATAAGTATTTTAAACCATTATGTAATTTAAAATTTTACAGTGTATTATATTTGAATAGATTCCACAATTGAGGCTAAGAAAAGTGCATCAAACTATATCGAAATTGTGGTAGTAAGAAATCTCAATGTTCTATATAACTACTTGTGCCATTAAATGAAAGAAATACTCGCCACGAAGGAAGAAAATACTTCTCTACTCTACTTATATTTTTTAAATTTGTTAAAGGAAAAGTAGATAATTATTCTTATTATTGTTTCAGACAAAAATTTTAAAACTGTCCTTTTTTTTAGAAAACTTCTTCCAAATTCACTTGATTTCCCTTTTATTGAAATTTGTGCAAATCTTGTAATTAGCTGTTTGTGATGACTTTTAATGGTAATTTATTATTATTTTTATATAAACTATTTTGTTCAATCAAATTAAGCAAAAATTCCAATCAAATAAACCTTTGGATTGAACAGTTGGTATAAATGCAGATGTAAATTACTTGGTAAAAATCTGCATATATTTTATTTTAAGCCGATATTCTTAATGGGAAATTGATATGGTTTTGTTCTTTTTAATCAGATTGCATAGGTGCACATTTTCTTGAAAGTATGATTGTATCAGAGATAAATCTTTTGTAAACTGTTGACAGTGCTGGTTTTTTTTTCTTTTTAACAGCCTCGTGTCAGGATAGCACTTATACAATCTTTCTTCTAAGCAGGTACAATTTTTACATTTTGAGAAGTTGATAATGAAAGATTATCCAAATTTTGAAAGTACTACATTTAAAACGAACTATTTGATCACTGGCCTTTAAAGATAACAGCGATTTATTTAAGATTTTAAATATGTTAATTTAACTTTAGAAACCATTTATAATTCATGGAAAAATCTGAATGCTGTTTTAGCTATACGTCTGATTTATATTGTATATACTATGATTATTTTGAATAAGCTCATTTTTTGTGTAAAAGTGTTGATGCCAATTTTGTAACATACTTAATTAATTATTTTAAACTGTTTATTGAATAGAAAAATTGATTAGATTGATTCAGTTGATACCATAGTTGTTATATCACTTTTTCAGAATGATTGTGTCAAAGGCATATTTATAGAATTGTATGACAATTTGTTTAACCCTGTATCCTTGCTTCTCGATACAGATGACAAAACGTTTCTAGTGAACCCTTCTAAACTGGATTTAGGTTTTCAAGTCAATTTGCAATATAAATGATATGAATTGGAGAATAGTGTTGAATTGGTAAGCAATGTGCTGTTTGCTTTTTCTTGCTATAATAAATATTCAGGATAGAAATACTGATTGTTAATTAATGAGACAGATTCTTGACAGGCGTTTAATAAACTACTTGCTGGATTTGTGCTCCTGTAATAGGTTTTGATATCCCTCTTCACAATATATTGAGTCAGTATCAAATATATTGAACTGTATACAAATTGAGGAAGTTGTAAATGTTAATTAGTTGTCCACAGGATGACTTGATAATTTCAAATTGTAATAAAATTAATTCTAATTTTATTAGCAATGATCGATTCAAGTGGGAAAATAAATGTTTTTTAAATATGGTAACAACGTAGAGTTCAAATCTTCTTTAAGGTGTTTACTAGGTGAAAGAAAAACAAAAGTGTTGGGATCACCAAGCTTTCGGCAACATTATGTTGCCATCATCAGAGCCTATTTATTAAGAAAATATTTATTTGTATATTTTATATTAATTCATATTAATTATGTATATTTTTCTTAATAAATAGGCCCTGATGATGGCAACATAATGTTGCCGAAAGCTTGGTGATCCCAACATTTTTGTCTTTCTTTCACCTAGTAAAGACCTTAAAGAAGATTTGAACTCTACATTGATTATCTGCAGGTCGATCTACAAACATCATTTCTTATGGTAACAACTTTAATCAGGAGTTTAACAATTACAATTGTTTGATGCATTTTTCTTCTTTGTACACCAGTGTTAGAGGTCAATTACTTTTTTTTTTTTTTAAACCAGTTTTTGTAGAATATGATTGTTCAGAAGATAAATTTGTAGAGTTGTTGACTGCCTTTTCCTCTTGGAGAGCTTATCAACATCAATATTTGAGCTGATCAACCCTCTTTTTTCTATTGTAGTGTATCGTATTTGTCCTTCTTGATCAAATTTTTAGTCATTATATATCCAAATTATTGAAGTAATTGAATTAGTTCAATGTTTTGTGCAGATTTTGTCTTCTAATAACCCATGTTAATAGTTTTAATTTTTTTAAAATTACTCCCTCAGGCGCTGACCTTATTAATCTAGGCTCAGTTCCCCCATTATGTGGCCGGGCCACTAGGACTCCCCTTGAGCGCAATGCTCAAGGTGCCTTCACTACTCGACCAACATAGTTAGGCTCCAGGGGCTTTCTACAGCTAGGCAATTCCCACCCCGAACGTATGCAAAATATAATCTAGCGTAAACTTACACATTACAATCACACAAATAAATACATTCATCCCGATGTCCTGTGTAAGTTGCACTCATTTTCGCTGTCGGTGGAGTACTTGAAATTACTTCACACTGTAGTAATAAGGTAACTTAAATTAAGGTCTAAGCAAATTACTGGCTACTGGAGGGGTGATGGTGACTGTATTTCACCAGCCCCTCACCATTCACATCAACAAATTCACACAAATCAAGAACAACCCAAAAAAAAAAAAAAAAACTTTTGTGCTCGAGAACCCCTCTCATATCCGGCGGCATGCCTACATTCTCTCTACATGGAGCCAAGGCATGGCAAGTTTCTATTATATGGGAGTTGAATAGTTTTAATTCCTATTTGACATGGCCTTAATTGAAGTTTCATATAGACAAATATTTGTTGTTCTTTAAGAGTTGATTCTTCTTTGTTTGTCATTTTGAAATGGAGTTCTAAAAATGTCTCTTAGATAAATCTTAAAAAAAAATTAAATGAAAGATGAAGTAATTATTTGTCATACCGACAATTTTAATTAAAATAAACGTAAACAATTAAAAAACAAAATAGAAATAAATCATTTGCAAACTAGATATTTTAAATATATAATAATATATTTTAAGTTGTAAATCTGGCTGATGGAAACTACTTGATAAAAAAATATTAAACTATTTTCCCCGTTTGATAAGACAGTAGTAATGTTTGTGCTTCTTTAGCAAATATCTGTATCAATGTTGTCCAGATAGTTCAACATGCCATGGGCATTTTCCTCAGTACCTTCGTACTGAATTAATATTTCACTTTTGGAAATAGTTCTAAACTTTTTCCATTCTTTCAGATCAGGTGTTTTAGTCCGATGTGACCTCTTTCTTGGTCCATTTGGTCAGCTTCACTTTCAGCACACTCCGCTTTGGTTAAATCATGGCTCTGATTGAATGAGTGTGAGTATTAAACCTTTTACATTTATCCTCTATTTGTATCTTATATTAATACGTCTTATATTAATATTAATTTGTAAATAATGTAAATGTATTTTCAACCTGGTAAATAAAAAATATGACTGAATCTGCACCATTTTTCCAGATCATATTCCTTTTACTTAAAAATATGATTGTATTCGAGATAAATCATATCTCTTCCCTTATCGATAAGTTTTTGAGTCATATCTCTTCAAAAATGTAATCTAGTGGGAGATAAATATGTCGAACCTTATTCAAATGTTGCCAGTGAAAGGCAGTTAGCCGTTTGTTCACAGGCTTAAAATGAGGACTTATTTCAATTGCAGGGGCATTTTTTCTCGTACAGCGTAGCATCAAGATAACGTATTTGGTCTTTTTTGGACAATCAGACAGGTTTCACCCTATTGGAATACAGTTTTGTCTTGCTTTTCTTCATACTTAAGTTGAGACCAAGATACATTTTTATGGTACTAAAATAGTTAATTATACATATAGTACATAAATATTGATTTGTGTTCAATTCTATAAATAAGTAGTAATAAATTTTATCTTATACATATTAATTGATAGAATTTTAAGTTTTAATTTAATTTTTGAAAATTTTAGGAAATCTTTGTTGCTTTTGTCTACATAATAAAAAAACACGAATTTAATAAAATTTTCTATTTTAAAAGGATATATTTGATGATTAAGAAATCTTTTATCAACTTCCTTTCTTGTACCTCTTTACACTTGCTGTTTTTCAATAATTTCGAAAGGGACATCTCTCCAAAAATTATTTCAATATTGCTGATTGAACTTCTCCAATTTGTCATTATTCTGCATGATGGTTTTATCTCAACCAATACTTTACATACAGATTAATTAATTGAAAGAAATTATTTGGTCAATCGGACCACACTAATGGATTCTGCTTGATATTTTTCCTTTTCCATTTTGTAAACTATGAACTTTGCTCACCGATAAATTAACTTTGCTTTTTTGTGCCTTTAATTTTATTAGAGTTTGCCACTTACTACAAGGTCCAATGTTAGATTTTGCTCTTATTTGACTTGAGTTTACCTCCTTATTGAAAACTAGTTCATTTTAGCACACAGCAATGCTCAACTCAAAATGTGATAAATTGAAATATTAGATAGCAATTCTACTACGCGCTTTTGGTAAAGAGCAAAGTCTTGAAATTTCAATTTTGTAATAAGGTACATTTTTCTTTACATGCTGAATAATATATAGGCTTTGGTCCAAAAATGGTTTAACACATATGGGCTGTTTATTGACAAAAATTAAAAGCAGCCTAAGCTTCCCTCCCCTAAAGGCATAAAACCACTAAGGGTCATAGCTGCCTTAAAACATCCACCAATGCAGCCTCCCCACTGCGCGAACCGGAGGGGCCATGGCCCCAGAGAGGAAGATGCCCAGAGGGCCAGCTGCATTGCAGAGGGATTGAGCACTATAAACAGCGTGATGTTATCGCTCAAGTAATATTGTTTCTCGGCTCTCCTAAAAGGATGCGCATGGGCTGTGAACATACACATCCCTCAAGAGCTGTGGTATTCTTTTTTACCCATATGCAAAGCGCTGACCCTCTGTCCACACAAACGGCAAAGGTCACACTAATTTATATCCTGTGCATCAAATCAGCAGTCTTAAGATATTGAAAAAGTTGGTCTATATTATTTGGATTGTCTTTTAGTATGTTATAGAGGGTCTGATAAGAGATATGGTGTCTGTAGGCTGAGTAGATTGGACAGTGCAGAAGAATCTGTTTTGTTGTAATAATCTCATTGCAACAAGCACAGACAGGGGGTGGTTCTCTAGCCATTAGATGACCCTAGTGATCCTACAGTGGCAAATTCGTAATCTTGTGAGAATCACCTCCTCCCTATGGTTAGTCTTGATTGAACTCGGCCAAGGTTTAACCGTTAGCTTTATTTCTCTAAGCTTATTTTCCCCAACATCATGCCAATCTTTTTCCCATCTAGACCAAATTTCTGATTTTATATTTGAAATATAATTGTCGCCTGGAACTTCTCTTACTAACTGCCCTGAAATAGCCCTCTCTGGCTGCTCTATCCGCAATCTCATTTCCAGCAATGCCGCTGTGACCGGAAAACAACCTCTCTGAGAAAGGCATTTTAATGCTATGAATATTTCCTGGTTGAGATGGTTATGTGTGAACGGACCATTCAGTGCTGACAAGGCAGAGAGCAAGTCAGAACATATTAATAACATTTTACTTCTTGGGCAGATTATATTTATACATGTATGTATTGTCACTAGCTCAGCACTAAAATTGCTGCACATTGGAGAAAGAGAGAAAAGATATTTCCTATCATTGGATGTAAAAGCAGCTCCTACTCCATTTGAGCTTTTCGACCCATCAGTAAATGCTAAGGTAGCATGTGGAAGGTTCAATAGAATTTCTAAAAATTTTTAAATTTTTTTTCTTTTTTGAGCTTAGCCGAGTTGTAGCTGACAATTAGCTTTTGGTGAGAGCCAGGGAGGAGATGTAGAGATAGAGATAGTTTGTAATGCTGCAATGGTGTTGGTTTGACAGTGTAAAAATAAAGAAGTGCATACAGCAAAATGTTTCTTTTTGCTATTATCACAGTTTTCAAGGGAGATGTTTCTATTTAGAAATAAATCATTCAAAGGATGTAGTGTGACTAAGCTAATTAAAATAATGAATATATTATTTATTGCCTGTAAAATATCCTTACATAAGGTTTTCTTCCCCTAGAATAATTGTTTGGCCTTTGATAATTCAACAATAACTCAAAAACAATTTTAGATCTTACTTGTGAATAATTAATTATTAATGACTATATTTTCTGTATTGAGAACAATTCGTAAAAAGCTGTATTTGCAACCTTGGAGTTGTTCAGTGTCCCCCATTGTGTTTACATAATCGCTGGTCCGTCTTGTGTTCCATCTCGTCATAATTTATTTATACATTATGTAATGTTGGGGCTAACCTGTCATTTCTATTTAGTCTATTAAGGCTAGGCGCACATGTGCAACTCTGTCCCGGGAGTGTCTGTAAAGGGTTTGTATGTAAGCATGCACACTTGCAGCTAACACGCAGCTGTAAATCTGACCAATTAACCAAACCAAACAGTTGTGCAACTGAAGCAACTCGCTTGTATCACACAAAGTTAAAGACGTAACTAAACAATTCCACAATTCCTTCATGCACTAAGAAACGTATACTTGTTTGGCAGATGGTAAGAAAATCTACTTAGTATCTTGGTAAGTGATGTTAGGCTGTATCAAAACCAGAAGAACATCAAATCGCCCGAAACACTCATTTGATAATAAAATTTTTTTTTGGGTGGTCTCATAAATATGTAAAAATTGCCTTTTTTTTTTTTTTTTTTTTTTTTTTTCAAATGGTGGCTGATAAGAGGATGCACCCAATATTGTTTTTATTTCTTCATTTTTGCCTTTTACTTACTCAACAGCACACACAGTAGCCAACTCAACGAACACCATGAAATATTGAAATGTATTAGTTGCTTGTGTGCTCCCAGGAGTAGACTATGTAACAGCTCAAATGTGCGATTTTTAGAAGATAATGAACTAACCAATTTCAAAACTGTTGCCCAACTGAAAATTGCATGTGTTTGCCTAGCCTTAGTTTGCAGATTGTGTTCCACTCGGTGTTTTCAGAAAGGTGACAGTTGCTCCCTTAAACTTTTCATTTATTAACTGTGCTATTATTGAGCTATATGAACAAATGTATTAATGTCCTGTAATAAGAACACTTTTTTACCTTCTTCTCAGTGAAAATTGATAAATTGTTTATTTTCATTACATAAGTAATAATAATTTGTTGGATTCGTCAGGAGCGGTCAGGAGAAGCAGTTCTTGACCACTCCTTATGAGTCGAACTATTTTTTAAACAACCGGTCACTTAAAAAACATTAGTAATAATTATTCTGAAATCGTGAGATGCGGTCTGGTGTGATGTAGGTTTTAGAAAAACATTTTCTTTATCGTGCCAACGGTTCGATCTTTATTGAGATCATCTTCAGGGCCTGGGATTTACAAACATTGTTTAAATTTAACAAAAACATGTAGGATGTGGAAAAAGTGAATTTGTACAATGCAAAAAATATTTTTTTATATTCAAAGTATTTCCTTCTCCAACACTTCTTTCTTTTTTCCACATCCTACATGTTTTTGTTAAATTTAAACAAGGTTTGTAAATCCCAGGCCCTGAAGATGATCTCATAAAGATAGAAATGTTGGCACGATAAAGAAAATGTTTTTCTGAAACCTACACCACACCAGACCGCATCTCACGATTTCTGAATAATCATCGACTAACGGTCACTAATCACCACACATTAGTAATAATTTTCTTTTATAAGATTAAATATAGGTTTTATATTTGGATACAGTTTTTCTTATGACTTAATTCTGAATTGGTTCATTTTAGCCAGGGATTCTATTCAAGATGAGCAGATCTGTTTCTACCTGTTTGTCTCTTTTCTTCTTTTTGTTGCTTTGAAAGGACAATGCACTATTTCTTACCTGCCTGGTGCAGGTATGTCCTTATACTACATTGCACCATATCCTTTACATGTAAATATGCTTTCAGTCTTGACCAGTTTGTTGATATCACAAATATCACAAGGCTTTTCTGCCCTTTTTTTTTATAGCCTGTTCTTGTTAGGGGGAAAAAGAGTGAAAGGAAACAGACTTGAAAATATAGACTATTACAATCTGCTTCTTAAGAAGTTTCTGTGATTTTTGCTGAATATAGGCGGGTGAGAATGGTGTTCTCAGTGCTTTTTTTATACTTTGTACAGGCAGTACGTTTGTCTATATTGTAAATTTTATGAACGTACAGTGAAGTCTCATTAATCCGAATGCAGCTAATCTGAGTGTCTGTCTAATCCAAACGTGCTTCGGTAGTGGAGAGGCAATTTTTTTTTTAAGCATTAATGGCCGGCAATTTTGGCTTTGCCCAAACCAAACTCTACTGCTGAGCTTTGCTGCACTTTCATCATCATTGTTTTGGTATGTCTGAAGTGTTTTGACTTGTAGTTGTTAGTAATCAAAATTATTATTAAAATCTGAAGATGGTGAGAAGCTAGAAGCTACAATACACTTAACAAGCCAAAATTTCGAAGATTGGTAGATCAAAACCGAAACGACTTATTTAGCCATCACACTTGTCCTACTTTTCAAAACTTCCAGCCTATTTTTTAAAATATAGATGTATTTATAACACAACCAGTGTGTCTACCAGAACTGTTTTACTGCTTGCTTCTGCATTCTTCGGCAGATCTGAATTTGCACTAATTCAAAAAGAGTTTAATTCGAACGGGGGGCTCTAATGTACATAGACCCATTTTATATAGCTACAAGTGTTGTAACCAAGTATTTAAAGCACTATAAAAGTTAGTAAATTTAGTTTGCAAGTTATTAACACAACGTATTTTTTTAAACTAATTCCTTGTGCAGTTGTAGTAAACTTAGTTAGTTTTTACATTATTAGAAATTAGGTCTGTAAGGTAGATTCGTATGAGTTTGACAAGAGTAGCTCCAAAAGTCATCAGAAATTGTACAAACCCTTTAAAACGAAAGTTCAACCAATGTTGAAATTGGACGACTAAGATGATCGACAGATGGATTGACTGACTTGAAATATTATTGAACTGATTGTTTTGAATTTTAGCGTGGGGAGATCTAATGTCGAGGATGAAGCCATGAAGACTGAAAAAGACTACTGATACGAAAGGACGCTCATATTCAAGAGACATGAGTTGAAATAGTGAGTGACGCTTCGCCAAATGTTGCAAGGGTGTGGATTTCTAGTTTAATAAAATGACAAACATATAAAAAGAATCTAAATATACTATTTATAATAAAAAGTACTTTTTTACTATTTATTAGATGTTATTATTATTTATTAGTAATTTATGTTAAAGTATGTTTATCATGGACTCTGGGAACTGCTTTTATCATTTTTTTGTTATTAAATTCTTTCAAAATGGCAATATTTTACTAAATAAATATTTCAAATTTCAACATTTATGGAGTGTTTAAAATGAAAATAATTCCATAATAAAATGCATGCCCTGCTTTTTGCTTAAATCGATAATTGTTTACTAATTAGTTAAAAGGAACCCCTATGCACCCCATGGTGCTTTATTTTGTTTGTTTTATGACCAGCAGATTATTAGTATAAGTGATGCTGGCAATCTTCTTTAAAAAAAAGGAAAAACAAGGAATGAACATTATGTTTATTTTTATAAACGGTAAGATTTCTCAAAGGTTTTGTGGGAATTGCAAACTGTATGGGATGATGTAAATTGCTATTTGTTTCAGATATGGTGGCTTACATTTCATATTTCATAAGTTGAACATTGGCCAATTTGGCAGAATGTTTACATGGTTTGGTTTCACTTTTAATATAAAAATGTCATATACATTAGTGCCACATTTGGGCTGTTCCTTGAAGCGTTTAGCATTTCTTCAGTGATCCAAAAAAAAAAAATTTTTTTTAAAAATAAGCCAGGAAATTCAGTTTTGACAACTGACTAAAAATTTATCCGAGTAAATAAAATACGGATTGAAACACATTGTTAAAAAAATATTGTTAAAAAAAAGTATAACTTAAACATAACTGAAATAAAATGATCAACACAGCTATGACAAAAGTTTTTTTTCTGTAATTTTACACTTATGGTATCTGAAATGCACATATTGTTATTCCACCATCTGTTCAAATTAATATTACTTTTAAGTTTAGTCCCTTTTTATGTTCCAATCAATCAATCCTCCTCCTGACAAGAAAAAATTTCACAAACCGAACTTTCCATTGTGTGCGTTTCCAGCTGTGTCACCTATTCGTTTTTGAAGACATGGACATTAACTCTGACTACTTTCTTTCATTTATTGTAACATGAGCCAAGCTGACACCTCCTATGCAACGGAGTAAGTCAAATCTGTTTTGACAATGAGAATTTTAGTTGTTAATACTTTTTAGACTTTATTTAATACTCTTACCTAATATGAATAAATTGACACTGTCGTATGCTTGTGCTCGGCTCAGTGGTTCGTTGTGGAGTCAGTATGCACCTTGGGAAATATTCTTGAATCTCAGCTGTCCACGAAATTTTGTCATTAACATTCATATGATTTTATGTTCATTAAGGAAAAAATGGTAAAAAACAAAAATAAGAAGTTTTTATTTTCAATCAGTATTAAAAATGTGGGGCCAAAATAGAAAAACATTCTTGAGAATGTTGGTATCGGACTATATATATTATTCTAGTCTATGTATATTAAACAAATTAAATTAACCTTATAATAGTGATAAAATCTAATAGAATAATTAATGATATGAACAACCCCTGAATTAAGGTCACATTTAACAAAACCAGATCTTTCCTTAATATAAGGCCAATTAATGAAAATTCAATGTTCTCGTTATCCGTTGAATCATGTTTTGCATCAAGTCAACATTTACACTATTCCAAGTCCATAAGGGTTGAAGATAACTTTCAAAAAAGTATTTTAAAAAACAGAAGAATTCTAGAGAGCAGTGCACAATTTTATTTGTAGAAAGATTTACACGTTAAATATTATGAGAAATAAATAACGAATATGATTTTTACAAACTTCTTAAACATTAGAATCTCGACGTCTTCTCACCAATTCTGGAAAGAAATGTTATACATGATGTCAAGACAAAGAATTAAGGTGATAGTGAACTTGTCTATTTAATTTGGGTCATATAAAAGTAAAACCTAATTACTGTTTTACAAATTTTATAATATTGTCTTGTACTTCTAATTAAATTTTCTGTACAAAGTCAAACTAGTGCTTAATGAAGTCCAGTGATTGTAAGTTTTGCGTGCCATATTAATTTATTATTATTAGTGTTTTGTTGGTTTATTAGTAATGCTTACCTGATATTTATATGAGTTTATTGCCAGGCATTGATAGAAATTTATTTTACTTTAAAACATTGGAGTAAACTTTGTTAAGTTGCTTTAAGTTTTAATCAAACTCCATACTGAACCTCTCCTTTTGAGGTGCCTAATTTATATTAATATGTGCCATTTTTTTTTTTTTTGCCTTTCACTTATTCTGTAAAGTGCTGAGGAAGCGGCATGGAATGGCAAAATAATGACAATATTCCCTCAGGAGCGTATTTTTGTGACTCGTATCTGCATTAAGTTAATAAAAAACAATATAATAAAAAAGGATAAATATTTTGTATGCAATAATGCAATATGGTTTTATTGAAATTGATATTTTAATCACCTCCTATTTTAATCCAAATCAAATGGATGAGAAGTAAAATAATTTATAAACAAGGGAATGTTACTTTTAATGATTTTTCAGTTTAATTTAAATCTATATACATTTTTATTTCATCAGATAAATTCTACTGGTCATGCTTTGTTTCCTACCTGTTGGCAGACTTAAATGTGCATTTCTCAGTTCTTTTGTTGTGAAGTCTCAGGCATAATCTGAAATGTTAAATGTTTTTGACAATTCAAAAATCATAGAGATAATCAAAATAGTTTTTTGTTTAATTGTTATTACAATTACATAATTTTCATGCTCATCTACCCAACCAAATTTTGAAAAATGTAAAATTTTAAAGACCTAAATTTTTGTTGACTACTCTTTTCACTTGAAATTGTTAACTTTACGAGCTCAATGCTGGGGTTGGTAATTAAATTTGCTGTTTATCATTATCATTTATCAGCAGTAAGTTACAATAAACATTGACTGCTAATCGTGTAAACGAAATAAATATTTGAAGAGACAGGAAAAGTATGATAATTTGAACAGATCAGTGATAAAACAGGTTCGATGGTTATAAATTGTTTCCTGTTTGTTTTGTCTCCACTTTCATCGAGTACAAACAGCTTTGTGTAGGCCTTATTGCATTTTTTGTTGTTAAATAAATTGTACATCTCGTAAAACAACTTACCTACGAATTGTATGACTAATTCTACTCATCACTAAATGTGTGTATGTTAATTTTTTCTAATCTTTAATCATAACTTAAAAGACAACTAATTATAAAATCTAAAGGAAAAGGAAATTTAGAATTGATCAAGATCAAAATATCTAATAAACCAAAGATCAAATTTCATAAGACCTATTATATATCGTTGACACCATGTTAAAGTGACGAATATGGATTTCTCCACTTTTCAGGAGAGCCAAAAAACCGATTTACCCATAATCTAATGAAGCTAGAGATTCGTAAAAATGACATTACAGATTTCGGTCTACCGGTCACCGTATAGATTCAATATTTTACCACAAGGTGGGCCTCATAGAATGCAACGGTAAACGAACGAAAAAAAAAAAAAAAAGCGATTTTTTACATTCGTCACTTTAACATGGTGTCAACGATATATTCAAAGATATTCAATTCAAAGACTTGTTTTTATGTTTTGTTTGAGTGACAACTTAAAAAAGATAACTTTATACAATTCATGAGATAGTTCAACTTTGTTATGTTTTCACACATGATTCTGTCTCCTCAACAACCTGTTGAACTGGTAGTTAGTCAAATTCATAAAATGCTTAAACATTACTATTATTGTAAACATCATATTCTGCAGATATATGTTCTATACATTCCTTTATGTTATTAAAGAAAATAAAAACTAAAATAAATACAGAATGTATAAGTAATAATAGTAGCCCTTAATATTTACTATATAATTTAATATCTAGCCCTAATCATCCCTAGTCATTATAAATAAATAAAATAAAAACCTTGAAAGAGTTTAGAAAAGTGTGTCAGATCTGTTGTACATTCCTGAAAAAATATTTTTTTTTTATCAGATGCTACATTTAGAAAAAGTAAAGTTGATTTTTTTAAAAACAAAATTATCTTCTGAATATATTTTTATACACCCCAATTTATCTTGTCATCTCGTATCTACTTGTTTTTGCATTGGAAACATTTGATTATTACTCATGTGCTATTTGTGCTGTTTAATTGTTGCCCTGGAAACATCCAGAACCGCCCTAAACTAAAATTGAAAATTGCTTGAAATTTATTCTTAAAAATACTACATAAATTCTTAATTAAACCAACTTAAAACACCCATACAATTAAATAAAAATCAATCTATAAAATGGGATAATCGTCATAATATTTTTATTACTTTGGGTTTGTACTTTTCCACATAACTATAAAAAGAAGCCAACCATTCATATAAAATTGATTGAAAATTTCCTTTTCTCAAAAAGTCTTTTTTTCTGTTCTCCCCCCAGTTATCATGGACGAGGCAGTGAGCGGTGGATCCCGGCAACATAGGCCGTGGGAGTCGTCGAAGTACACTAGCAACGGTGGGTCGCAGCCTAGCCCGACAGTCTCGCTGGCCGAGATATTCGACACCGCCTTTTCCTCCGATGTGGATACAACGAGAGATGGTGAATGCGTTATCGGTGAAATGGAGCTTGACCCGCTATTTGCGGAGAGTGACGTCGAGGGCAACGGCGAGGTAGCGCAGGAAGTCGTCGAGGAACGGTGGAACCCAGGCTACCAGAGGTATTACCACTCGACGCTACCGACTCCAGAAGTGGTAGCTGACCTCTGGGGCGCAGGACCCTCCTTCCCCTCTTCGCCGCAATTTCCCATCCCGCCTCATCCTATACCCACCCACCACTACAACCTTAACAGGCATAGACATCACAGGTTTCACCAAGGTATGTTGACATCAATATTAACAAATACCTACAAAAGTATTATTAACACATGTTTGGCCATATGAAATCTATATTTTTATTTCGGGTGTAACGTAAGTTTATTATTAGTACAGTGAATTATTTTGAAAATAACAAATTAACACCATTTTAAAATCATTCTTCGTATAGTTGTGCATAAATATATAATGTTTTTGATTTCTGTCATGCACAACACAAAAGGATTTTCTAATAAACAGTCTGAAAAACAGTTTTAATGTTGTTTTACTGATATTCTATGGCAAATGTGCTCTAGTTGTCTAGTTTTATTTGTATTTTATTCGGCAATTTTTTGAAAAGGTGGGGAAGTGAATGCAGAAGCGGGACCTTCCAGAACTGAACCCCGGCAAACCAGGGTACCCCAGGGAAATGGTTTGAGACCTCAGTCAAATACTAGGCCTAGGAGGAAAACGTACAATAGAAACCCCAGGCCTAGATATGCGACGCCGCCCCCGGCCTCTCCAGGTGAGAACGCTTTTAATGTTACGTTCAATTATTGGCAATATCTTATGTCATTTGACTTAAAGAGAATTTAGTTTTATAATGGTATGGAATTCAAAATAATTTCTTTGCTTTCCAACATCGTAAATTTTCAGTAATTAATACAAAGTGTAAGGTGATATATATTTAAAATAAAACGTTGCACGTTTCATTATAAAAACTTAAATTTTAAACATATTTTTTATTCTGTTTGCTTTGTTGTTTGTGTTTCAAAATCTTTTAATTAAAATTATAAACATTTATTATTTTAAAATAATAGTTGCAATGAAAATAACTTTTTTCCAGTCATTATGCTCATAATTAAATAAATCATACAACCCTGTATCATTACTATTGATGACATTCCAATAACTATTCTTCTATTATTTTAATGTAACCAGATGCCATACAATCTGGCAATGTAATGTCTTTAAAATAGCATAATTTTTGTTCAAATGTATGCGTTTGAAATTATGTGTATAAAATATTATTTGATGCTAATAAAATTTAAAAAATTTCCTGCACTACAAATACGACAGGTACGTTCTGGTCTATTTGCAAGTGGTGTGATGCCATTGTGCCATTACAATATTACAATAAATTTCAAATTGTTTCATGAATAAAGAGAAGACAATACAGTAGTCCTTAAAACTTTGTCACATGCAAAAAAAATTTTTTTTTTCAATGAGGGTATTTCAACTACGAGTTTTAAGCCCCCGATGAGAGGGCTGATGGCGGAATATCGTGTACCTCATTGACCCTCAATTAGGTTAGTTGTATAACATGTGTGAATGTTGTGGTTAGTGAATGTATTTATTAGTGTGAATGTGTGATGTGAGAGGGTTGGTGTCTGAATACTGAATACCCTATCGACTTCAATTAGGTTAGTTGTATAACGTGTGAAGGTTGTGGTTAGAGTGAATGTATTCATTAGTGTGAATGTGTGATGTGAGAGGGTTGATGGCTGAATACCGAGTACCGCATTGATCCTCATTTAGGCTAGCTATATAATGTGTAAAGGGTGATGGAGGAATATTGAGTACTCCATCACCTTAATTGATTGAATGATGTGTAAAGAGAAGTAAATGAGTATTACTGGGTTTGTAACTGCATGCGTTGAGTGCTGACCCCAAGCCGCCCCTTTTGTCCGTTTTCTATTTATAATCATAAACATGATCCTTTAAGTACACCCTTGGCTCGTTTGTGTCGTTAAAAATTGATCATTATATCATTCACAGATAGGTTTTATCGTTTTACATTTCACAGATATTCATAAATTTAAAACTGTAAATTTGTGCTTTTTTTAATCTGGTATTTTAGGTTCAACACCGTGGACAAAGTCTAGAAAAATAATGGCTTAAGGTGAAAACATGTTGCTTGAAAGGTGTTGATTTTTAGTTTTTAACGTCTTCCAAAAATTTACTTAATTGGTATAATATTAGCAGTTAATTTTATGTAAAAGTGGCTTTTATCATCTATAATTGCTATTTAAAAAATGAAAAAAGCAAAGTTTTATTACATTTATTGTGACAAAATGCATTGAGGCACAAGTTTATAAAAGAAATGGAATAAATGAGCCAAGGGTTAAGGAATAGAGCTAATGTGTGTTATTAAAATTAAATTAATTTGTCTTTTAGTTTTAGAAAAAGACAGGTTTTAGTTTATCGACATATATTTATTTTACACAGGTGTACTGAGCGAGGACGACTCGCCGCTCGCTCCGGACCTACAGCTTGATTGGTTGTCGTCGACAGAAGAGGAACCGAGCGACGACGACAGCGGAATCGAAGTGGTGTCCGTTCAGTACAATAACAACAATAACAATAACAATAGCAATGGCAGCAGCAGCGGCATCAACGCAGGGGGCAACAATGCTCACCTCAGCAGCCACCACCACTCTTCGGCCGGTGGACCCTCAGTTGGGAGGAATTCTTCAAGTGGCCACGTCAGTACCGGAAATGCCAACAACTCAGTTAACCACAACATAGTGAGTTCAGTTTATAGTTCTTTGGTCTTGAAGTTTTGTTCTTGTTTAAAAAATATTGGAAATAGGTTGTTTTTAAACATATGTCTTTCCACATATTTTTTTATTATTAAAAAAATAAAAGAACATTTTGTTTGGGCCATGTGTGATGGCCAGGTGGTCATCTCAAAACCAGATCATAGTTGTTTGGGTCAAATTGGGCCCAAACAACTTGAAAAGGCGACACAATAACTTGATCCCATACAGTTCGCGTCTTGAGGTGGATAAAGGATTATGAAGTTTCGATTTTGAGCCCCTCCATTAGATCTGCGCAAGGGAAAAGGATTGTCAGCCTTCTTCACTGACTGACAAGCGATGTACAGTGAATCCCTCGGTATTGAGGTTAACGCTCGAAAAAACATTCGTCCCAGAGAGAAACAGAGTGGTTTTTAAGCACGGAAATATCGCAAGCGTTTTACAGCTTAGTAGCAGGAAAGTGTCTTAAGTGTTAGGCAAGTTATGGATGGCAATTTGTGTGTGTTTCAATGGCCTTATGTGTACTCGGTGAGTTATTTATGTCGTACGTTATTTCTTTGTTAACGTGTGTGATTGTGGGCATTCCAAAAAATCTCAAATTCAATTTCAAAGTATGATAGTTAATAAAATTGTCACGGAATTATCACAGGGATTGTTGAGGAATGACATACCCATCAGAGTATGTTGATAGATTTAAGGATATAATAAAAAATTATTAGATAAACAAGGTTTCTGTATAATTTTTCTACATTATTCATTTTTAGTTGTATTACAGTCTTAATTCTATAACGTAAAAGTGTAAAACAAAGTTTTAATTTCTGTGGAATTAAGATAGTTACAAAGAACTTGGACAGGTTTTATTTGCCATTGGTTTACTTTTTTGGGGGGGGGATTCTGTAAATCTCTATATTTTGATGTTTGAATATTTAATTTTTAAAGTGCTGCTTAGCGAATTTTAAACCAGGTTTCAAGTAGAGAAAAAATAAAATAACAAAATAAAAAATATGTGGAAAAATTAAAAAAAAAAATTGAAATAAAAAAGTTAATTACATCGAATAAATAATTTTTTATTTTTGTGGTGCCACCCTATAACCAATTATTTTATTTTAGGTTCCGGTTCAAGTTGTCGATCTAACCCAAGAATCAGATGAGGAGTTGGTGTTTGGTGGGGCGCCACCACCTCCTCACACACGTGGCCCTCCCCCGCCTCTGATACGTTTTCGGGTCCCATGCCGCTACCCACCAGGGGGTGGTGGAGATGTCGAGCCTAATACAAGTGGAGGCGGGCGGTTGGACGTAAACCAGCCTCCGCCGATGTCGTACCCCCAGCCTCCACCACCGCCACCCCCATGCCTCCATGCGGCCCCGCCTCCACCGTGGCCAACCATGGGCGCTGCACCTCACCTCCCGCCTCACTCGCTTCAGTACCCGCCGGGTGTCGGAATCGTTAATCCGGCAGGTGGGATGGTCAGCATGGGTTACGTGCCGCCCAGGGTCTACAGTGGTTATTCTTTGCATCACAGGCAGTGGCTATCCCAACATCGCATGCAAGAAATGCATAGAAGAAGGCTAGACCACCATTTACACAGGTAAATATTTTTTATTGATGAAAATTAAAAACCGTGAGATGATTTGACATCGATTGTATTGTAGTTTACAAAGGACACGTGATATGATGGAATCTTACCACGGTGATACAATGCAGTTTCCTCCTCATATGCCTCCGCTACCTCCGCCACAGCAGCCGACAGTTTTTTCGCGTCCGGAAGTTCCAAATCCTCCTATGCACCCTCCAGTCATGGTAGGCGAGCCCATGGACATAGTCCCACCGCCTACACCGATGCAAGCCGAAATCCTAGTGCAACCACCTAAGTAAATGGACTTTCTTCACAGTTTTTTTTTCTTTAGTTTAAGCTCTTTTACAAATTATAGTTATAGGGAAAGGAGTGTTATAAATTCGATTGTTCAAAGGAATTTTATTTAAGTAAAAAAAATTTTTTCACAGTGCTCACCAACATGTCCATCATTATGTACACTACCCACATGGAAGGATGGCCCATCTCCACATAAGTATAGGACATGGCCCTTCAGTCGTAAGTTGAAATTTATCCATTTACCTTATTAACACGTGCCCTAATATGTATCCTTTCCCAGGGTGGTCGAATGGCCGGGCAAGAAATTCTGTTACCCGCCCCGATTGTACCCCCTGAAATGGTGCCATTCCCTTTCTTAACACGGCAGCTCACATTCAGGCTAGACGACTACATGAGGTTCCTGGAGAACAGAAGAGCGGCTTCAGCGATCCGCGGTGCCTCTCAGACAACGATCGAGAGGTTCACGTTCCCACATAAGTACAAAAGGGTAAGCATTATCCCAATGAATTTTTTTTTTTTTTTCAACAATGCCATACATAAAATGTATTATATAAAAATTAACTCCAACAGATGAAAAAGGACACGGATGATTTAGAAGATAATACCGAGAAGTGTACGATATGCTTGTCAGAATTCGAAGACTTTGAAGATGTTAGGTAAGTTTTTGACAGGTCACATTAATTTTTTGAAATTTTATAATAATTTATTTTATGTTTTAAGGCGACTCCCTTGCATGCATCTATTTCACGTGGAGTGTGTCGATCAGTGGTTGTCTTCAAACAAAAGGTGTCCCATTTGTAGAGTCGACATTGAGACCCATCTTAACAAGGATACGACCTGGGCCACTTGACCAATGTCGCACCCTGCTTGCTACCCCAAACAAATGTAAATCCTCAAACGTATGTATTATTTATTCTCTAAGAATTTATTACATTTAAATTATCAAAATATTAATATACTATTTTTAATATGAGAGAGGTATAAACTTATAGTATAAAATTACGACTTGGGTTTAATCTTCTCAGCTCAAAATACATGAATTTCTTCTCTTCCTTTTTACTATTATAAAACTATTTTTTAATGTTGACAATATGGTTTTCTGTTACAGATAAGCTGACAAAAAAAAAACACAAAAAAAAACTTGGAGTGGCAAAATGGGTGTGTGTCCTGTCTCAAATTACCAAAGTACCGTCTTTGTACTATTGTGTCGATTAAAGTGGATGTGCGTACCTATCGTTCTATATAAACAAGTATTATCGTAAAAAAATTGTTTAGTGAGTTATTGATGTTTTATGTATATAAAGTAAGGAATACGAATTGCTCACTGCCGTTAAATGAGGCCGGGGAGTCGACGACTGGCACCGAATCGGCACCTGTTCTTCATGTAATTATATGTAAAGATGTGTTAAGCAAAGAGCGAGGTTCGAGTAGGAGGTGATACTTTGGACAAAATTTGCGGTTACCAATTTTCAAGTTTTTATTCTTGATTTTTTTAAAATTTTTAGTTAAAAAGGGTGCCGTCTGTTTTTAAATTTTGATGGTTGAACTTTTTATGAGATTTTTTTTGTTGCAGTGTGGTCGCTTTGTTTTATTATTAATTTCTTTTTTAAGATAATTTATGAGTTGTGTTTTGTTAATAGTTACATGAGGTTTTTTCCTTGTCTCTCACCATTCCTTTTAATATCTTGTGGAAATTAACAGACTGCTTTTTAGTTTAATTTTCTTATTTCATACGGCTTTATTATGGACAGATTTTTTTTGGAATATGGCGGGTGATATTTTAATTTTATGTTTATAACTTTTAATTAGTTTTTGTTTTCTAACGGTCTTAATGACTATTATTGGAATTTTGTTAATTCGTAATTTTGTTAATGTGAAACTATTTTAGAATTTTCTTTTTATTGGTATATTTTTAAATATCTTTTATTTTTATTTTTTAAACAACTCATGTAATTGGTGTAAATTAGGTACTGCTTAGTAGACTGATAATTAATAATAATGAATAATAATATTAATAATAATAATAATAATATAAAAAGTAATTCTATATTTAAAACATATTTGAAGGAAAAATACAAAAAAGTATATATGTAATTAAAGTCACCTCTCAGCACTAAGCCTGTAAGTGTGATTTAAAGAGATTATAATGTATATTTAAATATGTAATGGACCCTTGGCATTTATATGGACCGACTAAATTAGTTTATAAAAATATAACAATTACCTCATCGCCATTACTTGTTAGGTGTTAAATCATATCAGATTTTTCGAATTTTTACCACCATATTTATAAAATCATATGGATATGCTTTAATACATATTTGTGCAACTTTTTAACGATTCAGTTTTTATTTTGTTGGTTTTTAAAAATTGTTTGGGAGAATTCAGTGTTGTGCGTTGTTTGTGTTAATTAAAAAAAAGTCTTTGTGCCAATTTAAATGGAGCTTTTTGCTTTGTTTTTGTGTTGCTTGTGTAACGCAAAGGAAGCAGTTAGATCTTCAATATAATAAATGTGCCTTCAACTTCAGCAATAAGTAATCTAATTGTTTCAAGTCTTCCGCTTTTCCCATAGTGGCATGACCGTCTTTCTTTTTCGCTTTCAAGACAATCCCATGGTTGATGCGCTTCTTTTAAAATTTACGTCTCTTTTTCAAACTATTATTGTAATAGCCCTTGAGCATATTGTTGGGCCAGATTATCATATTTTGGTATATGTAATATTTTCTTGGCATGTTTTAGACCAGTTCACTTTCCAAAGCTTGTTATAAAAATGTTTAGGGTGAATGTAAAAAAAAATTAATAAAAAGAACTCGACAAACTACATTTTAGACAAAGAAAATCTATGTGTAACATTGTAACCTCTGTGTAATTGTTTTACCTATTTTGAAAATAAAATAAATTCAGAACAAGTCTGTCTAGACATATTTTCTCCATTTACTACAATTGTTAAAGAATAAAATTCTGTGCTGTAATATTCTGAAATGTAGAAAAAAGTTGCACATCTTGTATTAAAGTGTTTTTTGTTTTAATAGAAGATTGTAGAAGAAGACACTTTGTATAATAATAATCTAATATTTCTTGTGAGTTGATATTTGTAAAATCCACAGAAAGAACGGTAAACTGAACAAAAAGGGGGTTGGGGATTTTTGCCTTACTTGTAATTGTTCAGGTCTTGACAAGCCAATAACCACAAAAGTATTGTTTAGAATGTACCACAATTAATGGCAATTGTAGTTTATATTTTACTAGCTCTTGTATATAAAAATGTAGTTGTATTTGATTTGTAATAACGGCAAGAAAATTAAGGCCGTATGCATACCAAAATCTTTTTTTCAATGTTGTCACAAGCTGGAGCTTCTCAGATATCAAGATGCCTTAAAACAATTTTGAGATTTAATAGCAGAAAAGAAATAAACCGTTAACTAGAATTGTTGCCTTATAACAACTGTGAATGTGTTTATAAGCACTGTGTAATAATAATTGTAAAGGTGACACAATTTACGCTTTTTGGTCTGCATCAAGATACAGAAACGGTTCTCTACCCCCCTTTTACCCGATGCACCGCACGGATCAATAGAAGCTTTGGACCCCGAATTTATTTATTTTCTTGTGATGTGATAACCTTTCGAAACGTATGTAGATAATTTTAGTTTTAATTGCAAAATAAAGCCTGTATTCGATGGTAATAATTGTAATGTTGTTCTACATTTTATGTCTTGTGTAATATTTCACCGGATTATTGTAGGGAAACGGTTGGTTTTTTAGGTAGATTGATTTTCTCAGATAAAACCCCTTGTAATCTGTGATTCACTTTTGACTGTTAGTATTTTGCTAAATGTGCGCTCTTTTTAAATTATAGCCAAAGTATTTATAAAATTTATTAATTCCTTGCTAATGATTGACTGCATAATTGAATATTTATAATAAGAGAGGTAACCAAATAATGTACTAAAGCCCAAAGGTGTTGTTGTGCCACCTAGTTCGTTTTTGTTTTCTTTTTAAAAGCCTTAATATAAAAAAACAAATCCTTATATCAGCTGTTTACAATGTATACATGTGTGATCTGAAAGCTGTATAGGCATTTTATAGAAAACACTTGTACATAAAGAAAAAAGTATAAAGTAATATATTTAGTGAAACTACAGTTTAGAGATGAAAGTAGAGACTATGTTAATGACGATTGACAAGTCAAGTTTTCTATGAACAATAATACATTTCGTTCCAGTAGGTGCACTTATTATTTATAATGAAACAAAAAGTTCCAAAATGCCAACTAATTCTTTAAAAATGTACCGTTTGTTATATTTATTATATTGACAAAATTAAACTATTTAAATGACAAAATATTAAAAAAAAGCTATATTTCTTGTATTTAATTTGTGTGATAGCGCTTGCCTCAAATAATAATAAATTAATAAAAATACAAAACAATTGAAAAAAAAAAAAAATGAACCAAAAATTATTGTTCATCAAAAATTGCAATTTCCTTGTTATCAATATTTGATTAATGAAACCTTGTAGTTTATAATTTTAATAAAAGTGTTAAAACATTTTGTATCCACATCATATTTAACTACAATGATTTGTTTGTTTAAAAATATATTCTGTTTTTAGAATTTAACCTTTCAATATTTTATTCTTCACGAATGGCAAACTAATTTGGATTTTTCCAAGAGGTGAATTTTTATCTTTTAAAGGAATTTAATTTAATTATATCCTCTAGTGTCAATGGTGTTCTTCAGTTGAGTATATCTACTAGTATGAAATGTTTTGTTAGTACTTCTTAAGTTTTAAGTTATTCAATAACCTTATTTATAAATTGTTTTCACACATGCATATCCTCATGTCATACATCACCACATATGTCTGGTTTAATTTATAAAAAAAACACGGTTTGACTTCTAAAAGGTTTAATGTAAAACAAGATTAAAATTAAAGATTTATTCATGTGTTTAATGAAAAAACTTGTTGGTGAAATATCACCGCTGTGCAAAAATGGCATGATAACTTTGTCGATATGCATTTCAGCTGCTGCCATGACATATAGAAAAGAAACAATGAATACACTCCTTTCATCTTGTTTTTGAGTAAGATCCGTCGTCGATTTCTCACTGCTATAGGCGCTGGTTCATAAAGCACATCACCAGTTTTCTTCTGGCAGGCTGTGGGAAAAATTTTATGTTATAACAATTTGTGAGATTTAATTTGAAAGTTACCTGGTGTTGGCCCAGTCTCCTTCACTGCTCGTTCGATTTCTGAAATGAACAAATTAAATTTATTCTGGCTATTAAAAATCTTGCTCATCAATTTAATGAATAATGAATTTGATCAATTTAACAAATCTTATTTTGTTTAATATAGATTTTTCTCATGGACAAAATAATTATTCTCTGTAGTTAAATGATAAGTTTTTAAAGTATATGCTATTTTTGGTATATTTAAAGTATATTAATAATGGTTGGAATGGTTTCAATTATGAACTATTACTTTTATTCTTGTTTAAATAGAAGAGCCGTGTTTAGATGTGAAGTTTATTTTTAACGTTCATCTCATGTGAATAATTTGATGTATATTTCTGTGAACTTTGTACTATGAATGATGGAGAGAAAATTTGTAATTTGTTATTTCTTTATTTTATATTTAATATGTAATTACTTACAATGCTGGGTTCAGGTCAGAGTTCTGGTTGTAGTACTCGATCAGCTTCAGGCATATAGGCGTGATGAAAATAAGGATCAACAGGCACCAAACTGTTGAGAACCAAAAACCATTCTGTCCATGGAAATAAGTTGTAAAAAAAGCATTCAGTCCATGACATGAAAGATCTTACCAAAGGATCGATCGTCCTTCGGCAAACGTGGGCCCTTAAGGATTCAAAAATCTCCCAAAATTTGTAGCAAGACGTTTTATTACCTCGTATTATATTCAGCACAAATTTTTGGTACTGTTCCAAATAGTTTTCAATCCTGGCTGTAAACGTTTTTATGTTCTGAAACATATTCATATATTGCATATTGTGTATCATTTAGAAATTGCTGCTTTATATAAAGTGTGATTGAGAGATATAGAGTGTGATATAAATTTGGTAGTATTGTATAATCGTGAGAGTGATAAAATAGATTCTCCCTACGTGTTCTTATATTGTTGTAGATCATTGAAACTTTCACAAAAATCTTTTATTTGCCAAGGCAAAGCAGGTAATAGAGGTTAGTGATGTATATAAGTTAAGCCCACACATGCACATACACAGCCGAACCTATCACTTCCGCAGTGTGCCAACAATAACTCAGCGGTACACTGAGAATCACCCACCTCGGGCTTTGGCAGACCAGGGTCATGCCTTGGTCTCTTCCGTCCCATGCCGAAGTTGAGCTCTGATGCTACCAAAAGCTGTGTCTTTTCAGCCCTCAACGTAATCAGTTTTCAAATCCAAACTCAGCCACTCATAAATACACCATTTTCTGTTTATATGCCATTCACTCGTGGTGATGGAGTACTTGATATTCCTTCATCACCCTTAATACATATAAATTACCTAATTGAGGATTGATGGGGTACTCAATATTCAGTCATTGACTCTCACACTACACATACACGCCAATAAATAAATAGGGGCAAAAACAATGCATCAATATAATAAAGGTAATAGAGAAACATAAAATTACATGTTGTGCTATTGATGACCCATGATTTGCAATGTAATATTGAACGGCCTTAGTATGTGATAGAGAGTGATTAACTTGTTGCAGTAGTGGATTTACTTTAAGCTCCAGAGCTGTTAAATGGAACACCATATTTTCCTGTAATAAAAACAGTAAAATATTTTAAAAATTGCCTTCAGATACAAGTTGAAATAAATACTTTGTGGTTTTCCAATTCGCCTAATATCGGTGATATGAGATTCTTGCTTTTAACAGCCAGGGATTTTAACTGGTTCGATGTTATACGATCGTTGGTTTGCTTTGCAACACCCTGTAGTTGAGTGACGACCGAATCCAAATCTGTGCTTATAGGTCCCATCATCTGTAAAAAATATTAGAAACAAAACTAAATTTCAACACAATAAAAATGGCCGTGAGTAACAATTATTGCAAACATTGATAAAAACTAACAAGAAAAAGAGGTCAACCCTGGAAAATAGATGACATTTTATAAAACCAAAAAGTCTGACCTAGTGTGAAGGAGGCTTTGAAATAATGTACGGAGAAAGAAATGCTGTCTTGTATTCATGTATTCAGCACATGTAAAGGATTATTCTGACTCATCTCACGATTTATAGCAATTTTATCCAATCCAGCGGATGTTAGATCATGGAAATAATTCACTTATTCGTCAAAAGTAATAAGCAGGTGGGTATTTAACGTTTTATCTCTAGGTTTGTCCGTTGTACAATAAATAAAAAGATAAAAATTTCACTTGTACAGAAATTGCGCCAATTTTCGATTCATATGAGAACAAGATATGATCGACCAGATGGACTTAACAATTAAAAAAATACTTAGCTGGACTAAATGCTAGAAAGACGTGAATTGTAATATCACAGAATCCAGAGCAAAAAGTAGGGATTAAAAAAAAAGGACATTGCAAAAAGAAAGTTCAGATAAGTATAAGTTCTTATCGCCCAAAATTGCTTTTATGGTAAGAAAAAATGACCAAAGGGTAGTATTAAAACAAGTGGGATGATTGGGACTGATATAGAAATAACTAATAACTTGCTGTAAAACATTATCAATGACAACCAGAACGATTATAACAATATTTTTTTAACAACAAGGATTATCCTTTGGGGTAGGATAAGCTAATGCCCAACCGCAGGCAAGGCAAAACGAGCTGAAACCTGAAACCTCTTGTCCTTGTTGAAGGCACCTCTTTTTTTAAAATTGTAAATGGCAAGGATATACGTATGTCACTGATCACTTTCTTTTCTTTTTTTCAATTTTAATACATTTATTTAATACGTTATTTTAACTTATTTGGCTCAGGTACCGGTTTTTCTTTTATTTAATTAATTTGTTCTAGTTGTGACACGGATTTGTTCACACTCATGAGTGACACAAGTTGCTTGATGTGATCGTAATGCGATATAGGATAAATTTTTGATAATAGATAAGGGACAGTTAAATAATTCTTCCAAGTTTCCAAAAATAGTGTTGACACGTGTGAGATATTAGATAAAATATTTTTTTGTAGGCCTCTTAGTTTAGGTCTCAGGGCCAGATTACCAACGATTTCTATCAAATCTTTGTCAGATTAAATTTAATAGATCCGTAGTTCTTCAAAATTTCGTCGGTGGACCAGAAAGAATGAAGTGTATTAGGGAGGCCCTTGACAAAACTTCCCGATTTCCAACAGATTTTGACTAAATCTTGATAGATTACTTAATCTACAACTGTATATTTATTTTACACAACCAGCAGATTACATTTCTATTTTGGCACGTGAGATTAATTGGCATTACAGATGAAGCTACTTATTGACACCACTCTAGACTAATCATTTAAAAGGGTCCTGATGCATATTCTTAATACAATATTTAAAGAAACAGTCAATATCTGTTAGTACATCAATATAAAAAACAAGTCAATATATCAACAAATAGTATCAATTTATTTATTTAGAAATCGTGAGATGCGGTCTGGTGTGATGTGGGTTTCAGAAAAACATTTTCTATATCGTGCCAACGTTTCGATCTTTATTGAGATCATCTTCAGGGCATGGGATTTACAAACATTGTTTACATATAACAATTACATTTTGGATGTGCAAAATATATTTTTTTATATATTCAATCAAAGTATTTCTACTCACTCAAAGTGTTTGTCTTCTGTGTAATTGTGCCAGTCTTGCGTGTCGTGTCGAGAGTGCCAGTGAGATTTTGCTGTTTTATGTTTATATACGTTGGATTTTGAAGGGGTAGGGAAGGAAGTCGGTATAGAAAAGACATTTTTGTATAAAGCGTCGGCTTCTTTGAGGCGAAAAGAGCCGACGAAGAGAAAAAATGTGTTGGCAATGATTCGGTCAGATTATCCTTTTATATAGAAAGGGATAAATAGGAAAAGGAAAGCTAAATTGTTGGGAAATTAGACTATGTCAAAAATATTTGATGTGTGGAATGTAATATGATGATATAGGTATGCTATCTGTATTGAATTTGATTAATGATATTGGCGTAGCTGCGACTGAGTTTACATGTATCTGTTCTGTAATTGGTGCTGTGTTTATTTCTGTTTATATAAACCATTTCTAAGAAATTGCGTTTATGTTTGTTTTATTCTGTGTGTAATACTTTTGGATTTTTGAAGCCGAAATTGTGTTGGTGTTCAAGATGGTGGGTAGCGAGTGCTGTAGGATTTTGCTTAGGTTTTTTGCAATCATAGATATGTTGCTTTACTCTCTTGTCCAGATATTGGGATGTAAGACCGATGTAAGTTGCCGGACAGTTTAAACAGTTGATCTTGTAGATTACGTCAGATTTATTTGTTATTGGTGTGGAATTTTTAATTTTGGAAAAAAGTGTTTGAATTGTTTTATAATTTTTGAAAGCTATTTTGAAGCTATCGGACAAGAGAAATATGTTTAATTTATGTGATAGGCCTTGGATCTCTGCTCAAAAATGTAATTGTTATATGTAAACAATGTTTGTAAATCCCAGGCCCTGAAGATGATCTCAATAAAGATCGAAACGTTGGCACGATAAAGAAAATGTTTTTCTGAAACCCGCATCACACCAGACCGCATCTCACGATTTCTAAATAAATATCGATTAACGGTCACTAATCACCACACGTATCAATTTATGTTGACAGGTAAGTAGTACAAGGTTCTTTACAAAGCGATGTACATTTCCACCCACTCAGTGGTTTTGGGTGGATTTTTGTGTTCTTAGCGTGTAACAGTTCAATAATTAAATAAAGTTACAGTAAATCATATCGAAACCAGAATGATATATAAAAAGAATTTTTTTTCGAGAAGGCTCATTTAATGGACAAAGTTTAAGCCCAGGAGGCTGATCATTCACCGGCAATTTGGTCAAAGTTGTGATAGTTCTATAATATTACATAATGCATTTAATTAGAGAAATACTGGAGAAGATACATTGAGGGGGCTACTCAATTCATATTGCAATTATTAAATTAAATTTTGTTTCACGACCAAGCAGAAAAATAATCTTGTCATGTTTCACCCAAAGTTGATATGGCGTTTCGTTTAGCATAGAACGTTACTTTCTATACACTTAACAAAATGATACTAACAACATTAATGCAAAATTTTATAACGACAAAACATTAAAAAAAGTCAAAACAGTTTAATACTTTATAAGTAAAATAGATTTATAGCTTAAATAGTTAAGAAAAACTTGTCACCTTTGTGCGAAACGTTGTCAGGTTTACCAAGAGGCCTTGCTGCAGGTCGACTAACCTGAAGATCATTTTCGGGTCGAAGAAGTGCATATTAGCCAAGTCGATCTTTATTTCTTCGAGCCCTTTGTACACGAAGTGCCATTTGGTCAGGTTCACCAATTCTTCGATGTCGAGCATGGTTTTCAGGTTGAACGCCGAGTAAGACGATACGTTTTTCTTGCATTCGCTTGAAAGGTTCAACAAGTTTAAAGTAAGGTTGTCAAATCGAAAAAGCGAGTTGCATTTAAAATGTGATTTTTCTTTACCTTAAAATGTTGCCGATGGGAAGAGGCAGACTGCCGTTTCTGTGTATAACGTAGGAGAGATAAGACTCTTCATCCACGTCCGTGCTCATGATCGTGTCGACGAATTTACTGAGGTCGTCGAAGTTTTCCTCCCGCATGGTCCGGCAGACGCACGACTCACCGTGACCGCCGATGTACACCGTCATCGAGGAGAACATCCACAGACAGACCGACACTATCGCTGTGAGAATCAGCGTTCTACAACCCACAAAATAATAAAACACAAAAAAATCTCTAACTGCATAAGAGTTGTTGAAGATACATGATCAATGTGGGCGAGGAGTTATTTTCTGCTCCACAACAGCCACAGCAGGTCGCTCCTGTCATCAAAGCCCAGATGTAGAGAATAAGCAATCCTGAAACTAAACTGTAAACTGACCAAGTTGGCTCATTCCAGCCTTTTCAGATGTATATAACGTCTGTTAAAAATTGACGGATGAATTGGTAAAAAACAATATTGGGACATTTGTGAATTACCTAAACCGACGAGCCAACGCCAGTATTCAAATTGCAACAGTTGGTCCAGTTTTGGCATCGAGGTCGCTTTCAGATCGTACAACGCGATGTTCGTCCTCGTTTTTATCACATCCAGAGAAGAAGCCGCAGACATCAAATCTGCCTTCTTCTTCATAACTTCATTTATGACGGCTGGAATACAGTATTTTAATAATTTATTAGGTTGAAATTATGCATAGAGGAAAGAAAGGTGCAGAAGTTACAACCATCTATTTGTCGGCTTAAAAATTGTAATGAATTTCTAAAATATGGCACTAATTATGAATTTTATAAAACTAAAACAATGAAAGAGAGAGAGAGAGAGTGAGATAGAGAGGGAGAGAGTGAGAGAGCAAGAGAGAGAGTGAGAGGGGGAGAGAGAGAGAGAGCGAGAGATAGAGAGAGAGAGAGAGCAAGAGAGAGAGAGAGAGAGAGAGAGAGAGAGAGAGAGAGAGAGAGAGAGAGAGAGAGAGAGAGAGAGAGAGAAATGACAGATTGGAGATAGATAGAACAATAGACAGATAGAAAAATAGACATTCATATACATAGCACATATAGTACATACAGCACATAAAAATATAAAAAGACATACATACAGACGGATAAATTATACATAGACAAACTGAAGATAAATACAGAACAACTGATTAATGTGTTTTCTCTTTGAAATCATTCCTCTTTTCTAACGCAAAAAATACACTTCAAATTTTTGTGTGTAAATATTATTATTACTAAATAGTATTACATATGCATTTTTTGTAATAGCATCTAACAACTAAAAATGACAATGTCAACAAATAAAAATAATGGCAATAATAAATGAAATAATACTGGTGGGAATTTCAGATTTACTATGCTGATGTTATGTTGTTCGTAGCAGGTTTACAGAGGGAGACAAACATATTAGAAAGATATTTGATTGTTAACCTTGGTCATTTTTAGAAAGGGTGGCAGAGTTGCCCGCACTGAGTTTTTCGTACATGCTTTCCCGTATACTCGGTCGTCCTAAAAAGGACTATTGTCCTTTTAACGTCTTTAAGTAAGGATCTTTAACGTCCGCACCTAGCCTATTCGGCCTTATCGGACGTTTTGAGATGGGTGTTACTGCCGCATCATTGGTGTAGAGGCAGCTCAGCCCCGAGGAGCCAACACAACCTCGCTCCTCGCTTGCCCATTCAGAGTGGTCGGGTCCGCATTAAGCATCGAACCGTATGCCACGCGCAAAGGGCTACCTAAGCCGAAATACATAAGCCCGGTTTCCCGCGCACTCCCTAAATAGAGAAGATATCCTAAGATCTAAATATCTCCCAGAGTATTGGGGCTAAATTGGCGTAGAATCTACCGGATCCGCTCCGGCCGCGGTTTTGTTTATTGTGGGATTGCTAACCACCCCCTAGAGGAGTACCGCCTACGGTAAAAGCTTCCAATCGAGCTCAGCCTACACCTACGTGCAAATCATAATCGAGTAGGAGCAACCCATACACTACCCGTTCCCATCCGCCACTACTCACGCATTCGAGGGACTTATCAGCATAATCATAGCGTCCTCAACGCTTATACGCTGCCGTCCGATCCGCCGTATCCCGTGAGGCCGGGTGAATAACGGTGGTCATACGCAAGTTTCGTGCGAAGGTCATAGGTAGAAGACAGCCTCTTCTCTAAATTCCCGCCAGGGGCGTCACCACGTACCTCTGCGAATCCATTGCCAGTGTAACAGGGGCTGAATTTTGGAACATTTCTGTTACCCCGTAGTACAGATGGTTATGCACCTTCCCCCGTCTATGCAAACAGGATCTGGTACCCTAACCCTCGTGTGCCTCTGATAAGGCACCCGAGGCCGACACGAGTACAGCTTGTGCTTTAGAGAGGTTGCCACGCCCTCTGGGCTACACCTTTATTATAACCAAGGGTTGGGAGGGGATCACAGGATAGAATGAAGGAACCTGGATTGAGAAAGGGACTTGGATGAGGACACGAGGTGCACCTTTTCAGGGCCCCGAGCCTTAACCACATTGTCGTCGCTGTGGTACCACATTGAGTGGGCCACAATCCTAGGGTGGATAGTTTTTCGTACAAGAAAGGCTTTTGGGAAAGCGCCGCGTTTTAGTCATCTTATCGACTCGATGGTATTAGTAGTATAAATCGCCGTGGGTTTCTGATTGGAAAATCAAAGAGTACTGTTAGTTGCCTCCAGTTGCCCTTCCAAGACTGTCGAGATTAATTACTTTACTTTTACTCATTTGATGGAAAAAGCTTTCAAAACTAATTCAGAGGCCTCCACGGTGGAAGCGGCGCAAATGCTACGCAGATCTGCTGCAACTTGTTGAAATTGTAAATCACTACAAATATCTTGGAATCTCCGTCCAATATCATTTGAAACGGGTGTCGTCTAGGGTTAAGATGGGATTAAACAGAATTCGGTCTGGCTTAATGTTAAATTACAACATTCCACTGAAAGCAAACCTCAACATATTTAATGCTGTCTCCAGGTCTGTGCATGCCATGTTCAATGCATGCCAAGTTTGGGGATATCAACAGTACGAAGTAGTTGAGAAATTTCTGATTTTTTCAAAAAGCTTTTTAGCCTCCCCTCCTCAACTCCTCGGTAAAATATAATTAAGTTAGCTCTGACCATAAGCTGTAAAAATTTCCCAAGAAAGCGAAAACAATGTAAGAATATGACATGTATCAACAAATAAACAAATTACTAGTGTTCGTTGTCTAAGGTCGAAAAACGATGGCAAGTAGTCTTAAATTCTCGGGCGTACGCATTAATCGAGTTTTCACATCGTTGTTCTCCAAGTTATTTCCACACAGTTGTAGTTCAACGAACATATTTGCCGATTGATTTATAATTTAAGAGGAGCCCACCCGAATGGACGGGAAAAGCGGTGATTTACTCTGAGATAGGAAGTATAAAAAGTTAGGTTTCTGTTCATCACGGACAATTGAATCTTCCGACTACGTGTTCTCGGCCATAAATGGGAAATAAAATGATTTGTTTCTGAGACCTGACCATGTGCTTGGAAGACAAATTGTGTTAGAGCCAATATACACAAGACAGTAACACTTTCGTCACTATTTTCTTCTGCGTGGAAGAGAAAAGTTCTTCAGGAGTGAATTCTGCAAAATCCACAAAATTATTTACAACCACGGAACAATGATTATGCTCGGCGTGACACCCCACGCATTAAAAGTGGATAGCGTAAATATCGAAACACTTTCCGACGTCTTTAATTTCCTGGCACGTTTCTAAGTTTTTCGACATCCGTCTTCAACTTCTACCTTAAAGTGCTGAATCAAACTTCTAAAAGGAGGTTCGGGACAACTTGGAAAAACTCATGGTTAATTGATATTTAAAAAACTCCGGAAAATATGGTGCAAAATGAACATCCAAACCCATTCTCGTTGATTTCGTCTCTTTTTCGATTTTCGTCGGCAATCCTGTGAAAATGGCGTTCGCTTCGAGGACCGAGGACGAAAGAGTGTCGATCTTGCTCTGCTTTAGATAAACCAACCTCGAATTGTTTGTTATCTGGAAAAATAGATTTGAAGATTATTATTCGATTCATGCTACGGCAATTTTGTTACCATTTTAGTCGTGAATTTGACATCTATGAGTTGGTCAGGGATTAAGTCGCAGAGCGGTCTGTCTGTCGGCTGGCAACGTCTCTTCACGACCTGAATCTGCTCTCGCAATTCGTGAAGTTTGCTCTCCAAGAAGACGATGAGCTGTTCCGTTTCGACGGTGCTCCTGAGGATGCTGGCCAACTGGGAACACACTTCTTTCCCACCTGGGAGTAAACCATTTTATGATTGCATACTAACATGAACATAGTCACAATCAAAATAGTCTTATCAATTTTAATGCATAAACATTCATTATATCGTAGTACACCGAATCGTGACTAATAGAACTTAGTAAGTAGATAAAGAAAATAAGAGCCATTCACCTATTACATATTTTGAAGGAGAATCTAATTATAAGTTCTTTATATCAAACAGATTTGTTGCATAAAACTTTAAATAGAATCTACATAAGTTTAGCGGTCATAATTCGATAAATCGAAGTCACGATAGCTCAAGTGGTTAGAGAAGCGGCGTATTGAGCCGAAGGTCGTGGGTGACCCTTATTCATCACAACCAAGACCTTAGATAAAAAGAATAATTAATTTAAATATAATGTAGATCAAGGAAATATTAAGTACCTGATATCGCTGAAATGTAATAGCGTTAAATCCATTAGATTTCGTGGTCCGATTGACCAAATAACATCTTTCAATTAATTAATCTTTATGTGAGGTATTGGTTGAAATAAAAAAGTGTCACGAGCGGGATTCGAACCCACGAACTTCAGCTCAATACGCCGTTGCTCTAACCACTTGAGCTATCGTGAAGTCAAGCCGAAGGTCTTGGGTTCGAATCCCGCTCGTGACACTAACTTACTGTGAGTAGGAACTATCCTTTTAAAAAGTATCTAACTTTTTCATTTCAACCAATACCTTACATAAAGATTAATTAGTTGAAAATAGTGTTAAAATTGATTAAAGTTTTTTATTTCTTACAAAAATGTCCACACTATTTTAATGACACTTTAAGAACAAGATTTACATCGAGAACTGTCGAACCAGGAGTTTTGTAATTAAATTATCCCAGGACCATTGAGGTTAAGTTAACACATTGAGGTTAAGGTTAGAGCACTAATCAGCTGCTACAGATTAATTAGCGAGGGCAGCTGGAATCATAAGTGCAACAACATAGGTCACTCGAAAATCTCACAACTATTGAGTAAGGTTAACGGTCAATTATTAAGCGTTAGTGATAAAAAGATTAAAACCCCTGCGGGGTAAAGGCACTTTCAGGTAGTCACCCCTTGTGATTATAATTATAGTCTGGATGATGACCATCGTAACATAGACTGCTACACAGATGGATCACTTATCAAAGGAAGAGGGAGTGGTGCAGGAATCTACATACCAAAATTAGGAATCAGCATCTCCTCCCCTCTTGGCAATAACACCTCCGTTTTTCAGGCGGAAATCTGGGCCATCAATGTGTGTTGTAGAACACTTATGGAAAATAAAATTAAGGGAAAAGATATTAAAATCTTTTCGGACAGTCAGGCTAGTCTTAGGGCATTACAAAAAGATTTGTCAACCTCACGACTGGTGGAGGAAACTATAGATCTTATCAATAAGATCACTTTCAGGTTTGAGGATAAGGTGACCCTTATACTAGCAGTACTAGATACTTATACAAGCACATAAAGGATACCATGGCAATGAAAATGCGGATGGCCTAGCCAAAGAAGGTTCTAATACTGCGTTTGTCGGGCCACAACCGGTATTACCCCACTCTAAGAGCACAGCGAAAGAGAGTATCAATAACTGGGGCATGAAACAATTCCTTAGGGAGTGGAATTTATCCCCCCGGACACAGGCAATCGAAAGAGTTTGTTAAGGCGATCAAACCAGCAGAATCGAAATGGCTATTCTCTATCTCAAGGAAGGGAATTAGGAGCCTGATAGGCATTCTGACGTGCCACTGCCCACTGAGGAGACACCTCTTCGTAATGGGTATCCTACCAGATCCCTTNATATCGAGAATCGACGAACCAGGAGTTTTGTAATTAAATTATCCCAATAATCATTTAAAGAATTTTATTTAAAACATACAATAGAAAGAAATAAAATAAAAAAGAAGGAAAAAGTATTTAAAAGAGCAAATATTTCAAAAATGAACCAAGTACAAACAAAACGGTATTTTGCGATCAATTAAAGATTAAATTTCCTTTATTCCAACTAATCCTGTTTTCTCAAAGGATTCTAGCGGTCATTACTTGGCAAGGAGTAACAAAGGTATATATTTCTTTTTAAGGACTATCTGAGGTTTTTTTTGGTTAACCGGTTGGATCCCCTCTGCACAAACTGGACCTCTCAACATCGAAGATGCCACAGGCTTCGAAGGAAATTTGACCAATTAAAATTGTTTATGTGAACTTGTGGGCACGTCTGACGATGATCATATACGTCATCAGATAGCTTTTTGGTCATCCAGGGTCGGTTCCACTTGTGTTCACTCCCACACCAACAGCCTATTGTTAAATACACGAATGGTTTTATCACTACAGATCCTAATTGAAGAAGACGAGGATCCGAAACGTGTATTAGTGAAATGTATATCAGCGAGAATAGACGCACCAAGTAAAAGTAATCATATCTATCAGTTCAACGAAACATAAGGGTGTCGTTATTTTAGGCAGTAGGCAGCATTAAGCACCGTTTTAAAATTTTGGCTTGTTTGAAATAAAATAAGCAGAATGTTATAAGAAAATTCAAAAGGCCGTTAAACTCAATCGTTAAAAGTCCAAAAACGGACTGTAAATCCAGCAAACCGTTCAAAAATGTCCTGATGGGAATAAATGCAATAAAAGAGTTTAATTGAAAAATAAGTAACGACTGGAGCGTCACGCTCACACACCTGGGACGCCTGAAAATGATTTACTATTCGCGACAGGAGCCGAAGGGAACGAAAATTAGAATCGTGTAAGTGAATTATTATTGTTTCGATTTATTACCAGATGAAAAGAGAGTTAAGCTGTAAAAAACTCGCCATCCTTTAAAAATAAAGTACTGCTTAAGAAAAACACTTCGGAATAAGTTAACAGAAGCGATTAATCAGGTAGAGCAGTTTAGACATTTTTCATTCATTAAAAAAGTTTTTTACTTTTAAATTTGCATTGACAGACTTTTGCACCAAAGAAAGATGGAATATTTTAATTTGGCGGCAACGGAAATTAATAGAAAATGATCATTTGGTTCCGTACGAGAATTTATTGGTAAAGGATTCCTCAGTATTTAGGACGGTCTTTGTGTTAAGTCCGTCCTTAGATGTGGTCAGCGTGGTTGGTTTGATGACGTAGTTTGATTTGTCTTTCGACATGATCTCTCTGTTACACATAATTTTCGTGCCTTGTTGCAATATAATGGAATTAAACCACAAATAAATGTCCGGTTTGGGTGTAGCTACCTTGGTTGATTAAGTGGATCATTTTACCAAGCCTTCCTAAAGTTAAAAAAAAATCATATATTCTTTTCTATTGGCATGTCACAACTGGCAATCGCGAGCATAAGTTGTACATTTCATGTATTATATATAATCCGTCATCGTCACACTTTATGAAATTTAACTTGAAAAAACGTTTTGGTCGGTAAGCCGTGTTTTGTCAGGTTAACTCATAGTTTATTTGGATATTTCTATATTTTGATGGGTTGTAGAGAGGAATTCTATTTTCAGTTTCTATTGCAAAACCTGTTGACGACTTCAATTTTTTTAAATGACTTTATTTTCTACAATAGTTCATGCTTTCTCTCTGATATAGGTAGTTTTAATGATTTTTTGATGGGCTCTCAAGAAGTGGAGAATTTAAGAAGCCACTACGATTAAACAATCAAGGAAGGTTAGTAAAAAAAAGTGGTAGACAAAGAACGACTCACCGACATGGTGACTTGATGAGTACGTCTATTTTCGCTAGTTCATTTTTCTTGTAACTAAATTCACTAATTTCGTGGTCCGCTTGACCAATTAATATATTACAATTAATTAAGGTTTTTAGTTGAGATAAAAGAGTCAATGGCACGAGCGGGATTCGAACCCACGATATTTTTTTTTTTTTTGCATTGACCTTTTGTCTTCAGCCATGTTTGAAACCCACGATCTTCGGCTTGATATGCAGCTGCTCTACCACTTGAGCTATCGCGACCTCGATCCACTCGGACACCAACTTCCCATCTCAACCGCGGCGTATCAAGCCGAAGATCGTGGGTTCAAATCCCGCTCGTGCCATTTCTTGTAACGTTCAATTCTTGGATTTTATTATTTTACTTGATTTTAGCCCTGGTAACTAGCGTTGCCTTTGAGATATTGAGGTCATTGTATTTCTTCATGCTATTTTACTAGATTCTTTTTCGTGTTTGTTTTTGGTCCAGATGTGCGTCAAGTATGCTAAGTACCTTGTCAATGTCAGTTATCTTTTTGTTGATGAATTTAGTTTTGGTTAGATTTAAGAACGAGAAGTCCGTGAAGGTTTGCGGTTTCTTTGTGCTTTGATTTGCCAGTTTCTTCTTTAGGCTCGTGTATTTTTTCTTGAATAGTGTTTTTGTGTTGTCCTGAGTGATTTTTAACGAAGTCAAGGGGGTAGTGGGTTGATAGTTATGTACAAATCTAGTAGTTCTTCGTTGAGTTTGTGAACGGATTTGTTTTCACTCATGTTTTTTTGCCTTATGGAATGTCAGTCTTTGCGGATAGCTGAAGTATTGCATAAGTCGGAGTAAAGTTGTCTGTAAAGCAGTGTTTGTTGGTATTGCTATGGGGTATGTTGTTAGATTTGTACATATACATGCCTTTAAATAACATAGCTTGCCACTGTTGCCAAGTTCATGGTGTTGGATGTCTGTTGTTTTTGAACTGATTACTTTTCTCAGTTCGTCTATTCTCACTGTTTGTATAGTTTATTCATTTGTTTCCGATTTGCCTCAATAGGTACCATTGATTTCTTTAAAAAAATTACCTATTCAATTTTCTCTATCTTCGGTTGCAAACCATTTTAATAATATTACTAATTATACAAGTTACCTGTAACATTTTAGAGGTACCTATCAGCAGGATGTTTAAAAAATATTATAATATTGCAAAAAGACAATTTAATGAAAAGCCTTAGATTTTAGATTCGTAAAAGTAATGATCCAGAGAAAACAGTGAAATACCAAAATATCAGGAATAATAAAACAAATCTCGCTGAAAAAAGAGGAATCCTGTTATTCAGTTAAAACAAACAAACAAACATCGAACCGGAGGAAAACATTGGGCCGCCCATTTGTGCTTTTAATGCGGCTTATGTATTATTTAAAGAATTGGTAACAAAATTCGACATGGATTTTTTGTTTTAATTTAAAAATTCATTCTTTTTTTCTCAGACATCGTTAAAAGAAATAATGTTTATTAGATAATTAAGATCAGTGAATGATTTTTCTGATTCGACAAAATTATTTACTATTTGATTGTGGGAAGAAAAACGAGGAAACATTTTAGTCACACAAACAACTCAGATACATACACAAACACACAACTAATTCCTCAACTAACCATATTCATTGTCATAGCTTAAAGTAATACATTGATATATTGCTTTTCGCCGTTTGTGATAGTTTTTTTTTTGTGTGCTTTTGGCATCCTAGAACCAAAATAGAAAACGAAAAAAAAAATGTTAGCAGGAAAAGAAATGAAGTATTTTCATTTAATTAATTATATATAATTTTTTCGAAATGAAAAATTGTGTATAATTAAGAATAACACGTTAAAAATAATAAAAAGTTAAATATTTTCATTTTAATTAGAAAAATGATTCACGAATATTTCACAGCCTAATCTACTTACGTGTGTTGATTATTGTTTAAACGATTAGTTCGATTTTATTCAAACTTTTACCGTTTAAGCTGTGACGTTCATTTTTTATATAATTTTTACCTGCTGCGATTTCCACCAAGGAGTCCAGGGCTGTGTCGAGTCCTGTTTCGAGGATGAGCTCGACCTGCATAGGTCGCCCCAGGAGGTTCTCAGCGTCTGCAGTCAAAAACCCCTTTTTAACAAAAACTATCTGTTTTTCGTTTATCTTACGTTGTATGTTAAGTGCAAATATTCAGCCCTTTCCAAACGGTAATTTAACGTCGTCAGATGTAACGACAGCGAGTATCAAGAGAACTTAAATTAAATCCTGATCCTTCCTGAAACTCTTCAACTCAATTAAATAAATTACAAAGTTTGCTAACTTTCACTTTTTATGTGAAAACTTTGGTCTCGATTCAAGAAAATAAAAAGATAAAATCCAAATAAATAAATACAAAGTACAAAGGTCACTCAAATTGTTCAACACTTTAAAATTTCTCATTTGACCAGTGGTGCAGATCCCTGCATAAGTCTTATGTTTTACCGTACAACCATCAGAGCAAATTTTGACTTTGGAGCACTGTACTATGTTCAAGCAGGCAAAACTATTTTGAAGAAATTAGATAAGATACTGTACAAATGCTTAAGAGTGAGCCTTGGAGCACTCCGATCAACACCAATTGACATTCTTCTAGCAGACAAAAACGAACTTCCGCTTGCCCATAGAAGAAAAACGTTAACAGGTCGTTTTATACTGTCACTTATGGCCAGAAAGACACAATTATACAATTGCTCTATTGTCGTGTAAGGTACTGACATATAAAATACTGAAAAAAAAAGAGAAGAAAGAACCACATTTACCATACGCGAATGAAGAACTTATCGAGAATTCTATTAATGAACTTGTAAAAAATGATATAATAGACCTCTTAAATATATGCCTACTATCTAATTATTGTAAATTCAATAAAACATTTTACCAAATGAAAGGGTTACCAATGGGGTCTCCATTATCCCCACTTTGTGCTGAAATATTCATGGATAATTTCGAAAAAAATCTTTTCAAATCAAAGAACAAATTAATTAAATCTGTTAATTTCTGGAAACGCTATGTAGACGATATTTTATGTATATGGTCGGGAACATTAGAGGCTCTCAAAGAATTCCTCCAACTAATTAATTCTCTACACCGTAATATAAATTTTACATTGGAAATTGGCAAAGATGGTTGTTTGAACTTTTTAGACCTAAAACTGTCCATAATAAACAACCTAATAGAAATAGACGTATATAGAAAACCCACAACTACAGACACTATGATACCAGCGGATTCTTCCCACCCATGGTCCCAAAAGGCTGCTGGTTTCATTTGACTCATAGACCGGATGTTAAAATTTCCGCTAACACCTGATAACTATAAAAAAGAATTAAAAACTATTAAAACCTTAGCAAAAAAACAACGGGTATCAAGAAATATTTATTGATAGGTTGCTAGTTAAAAGAATAAAAAAATGAACTTTAAACGAATCGACAATAGTATCAGCCACCTCACCACAAATGAATCATTAGGTTTCCGTTGTTTGCCATACATTGGTGAATTATCGGAAAAAATTAGTAAAATTTTTAAACAAGAAGGTTTTAGAATAGTTTTTAGAAGTACGGGTTCACTTAAAAACATCCTCTCAAAACTTAAAGACAAAGTAGACAACTTGGCAAAAAGCGGGGTTACCAACTCAATTGTAATGATTGTGATATTAAATATATAGGACAAAGCGGTAGAGAAATAAAAACAAGAGTAAAAGAACACTTGCCTAAATCGAGCAAATTTTCGGAATTTAAGGATCATCTAAAAGAAACAAAACATAAATTCAATTCAAATTTAAATACAAGAGTGTTACATAGTTTCAACAAAGGGAAAGAACTAGATTGGTTTGAGAAATTTGAAATTAAAAAATGTAAAATTGAACATGGTAATAAATGCATTAATATTATAACAGATTAAGTATTTACTAGTATAATATTTATTTGTGTTATAATTTCCGCGTTTCGCATTCGTTCAAATTGAGCGCCATTAAAAAAATCAGCTGCTAATTGGAACGTCGCATTGGCAGAGGTATCAGCGGGTTCACTTTCATGTCGAGAGACGTGGTTGTAGAAGTCCTTCAACCTGATGATGAGCTAAAAGGCTCGAAATCCGGATCGTTGCAAAACAACTTACTGTGAGTAGGAACTATCTTTTTAAAAAAGGATTTAATATACGCTTTCACCAATCTAGCCAAACACGAATCGTCAGTCGAATCATTATGTCCTTCACCTTATTTTAACACAAACTTTGAAAGTATACTCCTATTTAAACCCACTTGAATAAAACCCAAGTCACCCAAAAATATCTAAGTGATCTTTATACGAGTTTTCCAGACGGACATCTTATTTACACCGACGATCACTCCTAAATGGGCATTTTTTGATCCAGTACAAAACTACATTAAAAAGTTTTCTCTCCCACAAAAAAGGTACCCAAACATTAGGCAGCATACAAATACTAGCAAACCTATGTATCACAGGGGCAATGAGAACCACCCCTACAAATGCATTAGAAACTTTGCTAAACCTACCTCCACTGGAAATATTCATACAAGGAGAGGCTAGGAAAAAGTCACTTAGGCTCCAGAAACAATTAAATTGGAAAGGAACAATTCGGGCATACAACCATACTCAACAAAATCAGACACCCATTATTAGAAATGGGGACTGATTATATGATCCCGGAAACAATCTTCACAACTTTCTATAAGGTCTCAACGGACTATAAAGGAGAGGAAGAACACAGGAGAGCATCAGATACAATGATATGGTACACAGATGGCCCAAAACAAACGAAGGAACCGGATCAGGCGTTTTCTGTACAAGCCCAAAGCATGAGCAATCAAACTCATTAAGGAAGTACACTTCGGTCTTTCAAGCAGAAATACATGCCATCAATGCTTGTGCCCTAGAAAATCTTAAAAGAGGTTACACTGACAAAAAAATCATCATAAGATCAGATAGCCAAGCAGCCATTAAAGCATTAGCATGTAAAAGAATCACATCAAAATTAGTCAGTGAATGCAACCAAAATCTCCAAAACCTGGGGAAACACAACAACCTGATGATATCTTCAACCCTCAAAGACTGGCAAAAGCACTGCTCCAATTGGAGAGGGCCAAACTCAGAGGAGTGGTAGGACTACTAACCGGTCACTTGCATCTGAGAAAACATCTACACAACATGGGTATGTACAACGATGATCCCATTTGCAGATTATGTAATGAGGAGGAAGAAACAGCCACTTATATCATCTTCGAATGCGAAGCATCAGCTGAATGGAGATTTAACCTAACGTACGAAAAAGACTCAGGGAATCAAATTGCAGCAGCGACAGTCAATGCCCAGATACTTCTAAGGAGAAGGATTGAGTCTATTGCACTGAACTAAGGAACTAGGAAGGTACAATAAGCCAGAAGGCTGCAGTGCCTGGGGAGCGCAAACCCCGCTTCCTAGTATCCTTTTTCACCATACCATACCATACCATACCCTGAAAAGATCTTCATCCTATATTAAGATTACACCTGCAGATAGATTGGCAAATTGATACCTGTCAAATAACAAAGGGATCAGATACAAAAATATTTTTCCGTTGGTAGCACGGGAACCTAAGTTCACCAAAGAAATTAATATAACCAAGGCATTTTGCAAAACAATAATAAGGTTAAGATCCAATCGCAGATTGTGCAAAGGATATCTCAACAGATTTAATATAATCCCGCCACCGAACTGTGAGGACTGCGGATATGAGTCTGCAAGTAACTTGCAATTGAACGCAGAAATTTGTTCGACAGACTCTCAAATGCCAAAGAAATAAATCTTCAACCATCAATCACCAACCACAGCTCTAATATCGTCAACCGAATTAGCAGTGTACCATGAAATGTATAGTTTTATTAGGTATATTAATGTAATTGTGTAAATAATGATGTATAAAGTGCATAGTAGTATTATAATATTTAGTTTTTAGGAAATAATAATGATTACATAATAAGGTGTAAAAATTATGGCTATATAAATATGTTGGAGTCAATAAAAGGAAAAAGTACATAAATTTAAACCTTAATTAATTGTATGTATTAATTGGTCAAGCGGACCACGAAATTAGTGAATTAAATAAATTTAAACAGTTTGAAATTTTAAAATAACAGCGCAAAATCGTGACATATCCGTCTAATAAAAAATAGTAACTGAAGATTTTTGAAAGTATAAAAACCNCTTGTTTGTAAATCCCAGGCCCTGAAGATGATCTCAATAAAGATCGAAACGTTGGCACGATAAAGAAAATGTTTTTCTGAAACCTACATCACACCAGACCGCATATCACGATTTCTAAATAAATATCGATTAACGGTCACTAATCACCACATGTTTTAGCCTATTCCATCTTCATGGTAAAACCGGACTTGAACAAATGGATGAAGAAATAAATTACTACACACTGGATGAATTCATCGGGTACCAAACAATCGAAGAAGTTTATCGACATCTCAACTAGATAAGCAGAAATGTACAAAGGTACACTACTTACGTTATACACAGCACTTAATTACTTACTTGTTATTTATGTAATTGCTACATCAAAAAATAGGAAAAACAGAGAGAATCAGGGTCATATCATTAGCAAACTTTTTATTTCGACAAAAGAATTTTTACTAGTTATATAGTGTACATATATGTAGTATTAAGTTATATATACTATATAACTTAATATGATAGGCCGACAATAAAGGCTGTAATTCTTTCAAGTATTGTTAGAAACTCTAATTAGTTTTCATCCGTTAACGTGATTAGAAGTTTCACTCTGTACAGCTTTCTAACACTTATTTTATATTACCTTATGTATTGATCTGAAAAAGTTTTATAATTGCTTGAATTAATTCGCGAGCGGGAGCGAAGTTCAACGGGCATTCTCGTTCAGCTTTTCACCACTTACATAAAACTTGTAATTTTTACGATATCTCTTAAAACACCATTTCTCCGTAATTCGCATATTTACAACTTTGGACGGTCCTTCTGCACATTCCGTTAAATAAGCCGCCCGGGGGGATTTGGGATAAATCGGCTCAATCCCTAATTTAATAATCAAAATT